TTATTCTTAATACCTCTTATAAAGAAAAATACGATACTAAGATTCTCGAATACGATTATTTCTTTACTGCTTTTATTATTTTTTAGATGTTAAGCGTATATATATATCCATTTTTTCTATCTTTTTACTTATTAATTATAAGATATAATTTAACGAAGGGGGGGTAGTATTACGAGCGTATTCTTAATATACCCCTTAGCTCTATAGCTAGCGGGCCTTAGCGGAGATATTCTCTATTATATTATATCTTCTTTTTATCTATATAATTCGATATCTTAATTATCTTATTTAATATATCTATATTAATATTATATCTATATTAATTCTAATATTTATTAAAACTTAATTTACTCTAATAAGATCTTAATTTAATTTATTTTTTTAATATTAAACTTTATTATAAGAAAGAAGAAAGAAAGATTTAAAATAAAGTAAAGAGAAGTTTAAATACTTCGAAAGAATAGATATTAAGAATATTAGATATATTAGAGAATAATAAAGTCTCTCTAAAATATATTAAAATTATTCGATATTAAAAATAAATTTTTTTACTATAAAGTCTAAAATAAGATTATTTCTTTATAAAAATTTAATATATTTATTTCTTAATTATTTAAGACGTTAAGAAGATTATAAATACTTTAAATAATAGTCTTTCGAGTATACTTACTTCGCTTAAAGAGTTTTTTATCTTATAAAGAAATTATATATAAAAAAGTTTTAAAAAATAATATCTTAAATTAATTATAACTCGATTGTTTTTTATCTAATTAGAGTCTTATTAAAATTCTAGATATTATAATATATAAAGTTATAAGTAATACTATTAATATATATTTTAAATATAAAAATATAGAATAATATTAATTATTTCTTTCGATTCGCTAGTTATATAAATAATTTAATATCTTCTTTATCTCTTAACTACTATTTATCGAAATTATTTCATTATTTTATTTAGACTCTTTAAAATTAATTAATTTATTTAATAGATTTATTTAAGAAATATAATAGCTTAACTTAATTTCTTATTAAAGTCTCTATTAGCGTATTTCTTTAAATTTATTCGCTAATATAAATAAAATAAGTAAATTAATCTTAATTATAGTATTAGAATTAATATAAATATAATATTAATATAGATATATTAAATAAGATAACTAAGATATCGAATTATATAGATAAAAAGAAGATATAATATAATAGAAGATATCTTCGTTAAGGCTCGCTAGTTATAGAACTAAGAAGTATATTAAGAATACGCTTATAATAAAAGTCTTAAAGTCGAATATAGAGAAAAGGCTAGAATATAAATATAAATATAATTAAGAGTATTATATAATAGATGATTTTTAATATTTTATTATATAGACGAACGAAAAGTATTAAAACGTTAGATTTATATAATAAAATCATATATTTTAAAACGCTAATATCGCTAAAAACTCTTAAAATATATAGTCTATATCTTTAAAGTAAGATATCTTAATTTATATACTTATAAACGTCTTATAATATTATAAAGATAAATTATAATTCTATTATAACGAGCTTAATCGACCTCGAATTATAATTAAAAAACTCTTAAAATTACGTCGTCGTTTAAAGAATAATAACGAAGAAGAATATTAAAAGCGTATTCGTTAGTAGAAAGCGAATTTTTTCTATAGTTTTAATATTTAGTTAATTGAAAATAGTATAATAATAGAGTATTATATTAAATATTAGCTTTTAAACTATTATTAGAGTATAAATTAATTATAAATTAAATACGATTATAATATTTTATAAAAAGATAATAATTTAAATTATAAAATAATTCGAAGTAAGAAGAATATTAAGATTAATATGAAAAATATCGCTATATAGCTAAAATTCGATAATTAAATTAAGACTTTAGAATATCTTATATAATTATCTAATCTTAATCTAATTAAAATTATTTAGAATCTTCTAAATAAATAGATTTATTAATAATAATAAAATAATTAATATAAATATCGTATAATAATTTAGAAGAAATAAGATCGAATCGAACTTAATAAAATTTAGATCTAAATTATTAAAATACTTTAATAATATAGAATATTACGAGAGGGTAATTATATTAAGCTTATTAAGTCTAAGTTATAGTAGAAATATATATATTTAATAGAAAGTTAGTAGTTAATTTAAAAGTTATTTATTTTATTCGACTATTTAGCTAAGATAGCCGTCTTAACGAAGGTACCCTATTTAAAAATCTATAGAGACTTAAATCTATAAACTACTCTTATTTAAGTATATATAAAATATTACGCGTAAAAATCTTTATAGAGAAAGACTATATCGAGTAACTTTATTAAATTAATATTAAATTAAATAAATTAGAGATAAAAGAGGGGATAGATAAAAATAAAAATAAACTATTTAAATAATAGATTTAGATTTATTAATTTATCTTAATTATTAATATCGCTAATATCTATATTCTAATTTTTTATAATATTATTTAACTTCTTAATTATCTCTACTATCTTACACTTAATTTAATTTATTATCGCGAGAAAGTAGGATATTATATAAATAAAGCCTTTATAAATCTTTATTTAACTAAGAAACTCGTTATAAAGATTTTTAAATATTTATATATTATATTTTTTAATTTAATATCTCTTATAAAGATATAAAACTTAATCTATAAGAATTTACTTTTAAATTAAGATTCGATAATAACTTTAAGCGATATCTAAGAACTAATATATAATTAAATCGCTAAAACTATATAATAAATAATATTTTTATAAGATCTAAATAGTAGTCTAATAGAGAATATCTTATCGTCTCTTATTAATATCTCTTAAATTAAGATTAAGTATTATAAAAGCGATTATCTTATTAATAATTCTTATCTCGAGTATCGAGTTAGAAATTAGTTAATTTAAAATAATAAAAAACTCTTTTTATATCGCTTTTAATACTATATACTTAATCTATATATAAAATAAAAATTAATTAATATTATAAATAAGATATAGCTATTATTATATTAATACTTAAATAAAATTAATTTTTAATTAAATCTTTTTATAGAGTAATCGCTAAAGAAGGTTCTCTATACGCGATATCTTAAATTTATTATAAGTCGTAATTTATATTCTATTCGCTAAGACTTTTAATTTATAGCGATATTAATAAATAAAAATAGAGCTTTTAATTCTATCGCTAAAATTAATAGCTTTTAATCTCTTATCTAAGATTATAAAATAGACTTATTAAAAGCTAATCTTCGATAAAGAAATAAGATAATTATTAATCTCTATAAAGTATTTTTATCGAAGTATATTTAATCTTTATATATATAAGATCGAAAGTAGTAGATATTAGTTTAATAAAATAGCGTTAGAAATTAATTTATTAATAGTATAGTCGATCTAGAAAGAGTACTTATTATATACTATTCTAGTCGAAACTATTAAGACCGCGTATATCGAGTTTTATATATCTTTAAAAACTCTAATACTCTTATCTTATAAAGCTTATTAAATCTCGAAGTTAAACTTTTTTATATTCTTTAAATCGACTTTTCTTAATAATAAATAGTAGAATACTAACGTCGCTAGTAGTTTTATAATAATTAAAGAAAAGTTTAATTTAGAGAATTTATATAGATATCTTTTTTTATCGCTACTAGATAGTTTATATTAGCTTCGAAATATAATTAAGCTAATTAGAGAATTAAGTTATTTAAAAATTAATAAACGCTAAGATATATAGAAGACTTCGAGTATATAATATTAGAATATCTTTAGCTAAAATAATCTATACTAATTCGAGAAAGTTAATTACTCTACTAACTATAGCTATAACGCTTTCGTCGATAATAGCTTATAGATTAATTATCTCGACTTTACTCTTATAGAAAGTTAGTAGTAATCGAGTAAACTTCGAGAATAATAACTTCTAATATCTTCGTACACTAAGAGTCTCGATAATATTTTCTAGAAAGCTATATACGAAGTTTATATCTTATACGACTAGTGGCTACGCGAAAGCTAATCGAATTTAAGAGAGTATATATATATTAAAAGAGAATATATATATATAGAAAGAAGATATACGTATATTACTTTCCTTCTTTTCTTATAAATTCGAGTTCTCTACGCTTTTTAGCTAGACTATCTAAGTTATCGCGAATAAATAAATTAGCGTTCGTAACTATTAAAATCTCTTACTCTATACTCTACTTTTAATCCTTTAATAACTTTACTATTTTCTATTAAAATTTTAATTTTTTTTTAAAATTATAAAGCGTAGATTACGCTTTTAAATACTCTAAAAATTTCTAAATTTAATCTTATAATTATTAAAAAGCAAGGCATTCAAATATCGCTTCCCAAAGCTCGCTTCCCAAAGATCGCTTCTTAAAGATCGCTTCTTCAAATTTACTCGATAGGCCTAATTAAAAAAATAATTATAAATTTAATTCATATGTCTTTACTCGTTTAATATAAAATTATAGAGGTTAGTATTAAATTGAAATATTTTCGATCCCTAGGCCCGCGGGAGCTCAGCGATCATCGAGCCTTGGGGTCTAAATACGGGGTACCCGGGCCCTCGGCGAAGTCTATAATCCCTTATGAACCCCCTAAACGACCCCCTAAGTCTCGAGATAGCGACTCTTTAGTCTTATAAGATCCTTTCAGAGATTTCTAGGTTGGATGTAATATTCCTTATAGGGAATCCATATTCCGTGAAAACTCTTATAATATCCTCCGTTCATTACTAGCCAATCCGATAAACGCCGAGACCCCAGCAACATAGGGCGAAATCTGTTCTCGGCGTTTATCGGATACACAGCATTGCAAAAAACCCTACCGCCCTTGAATGTATGTCTTCTGCCGCCAAGACTTCCTTGTGTCGCTAGCACCAATGTCAATGTTCTCACGGAATTCTCAGTCGTAGCATTAGTCAAAAACATTGAAAACTGTCTACAATTGGGGCATTTCGCTTGAAGGGACATGTCGCTCCAGCCTTATGTCGATCGTGAGAAACACTTTTGTCCCCTGCAAGTCTAACCTAAGAACATGTACTAAGACTATCGTGCATGTACAGAAAAGGTTCTGGTCGTCACCGCAGATGGCAGAACCTTGACTGGCACCCTGCTCTCCTGCGATCAGTTGACGAATCTCGTCCTCCAAAACACCATCGAGCGCGTAATCCGACCACATGAAGATCCCGAAGATAGCGAAGAAGTTCCGCATGGCCTATACTTGATTCGAGGCGAGAATGTGGCTATATGCGGACTGCTGGATGAGCAGATGGATGGCGAAATCGATTGGGCGAAAGTGAAGGGCAGTGTAATTGGGGGAGTGAAGCATGCGTGAGGACTATTGGAAAGTGTCATGGTTGATACTTGCTACTAGCATTGGAAGTCAAAAACCTGGAGGTGCCAATATGTTTCAAGAGCCAGTCCGCCGGAAGAAGCTGAGAGATGATCTATGGGTGAAGGGCCACAGCCCGAGGAACACAAGAGCGGCTGTAAGCCTCAACAAGAACGGGCAAACAGTACAGTATGTCCTTCAATTCTAGCCTCGTGAGATATACAAGGATAACAAAATCTGCCTTTCACAACAGTCCTATTTTAGATCCGTCCCGTGCCTTGAACACAGCAGCAGTTGGTGGTGAGAGACATAAGGCTACGGCAGAAGTCTACTGCTGCAGACTTTGGCAATTACGTGGTACGCTCGAGGTTTTTCGTATGGTAGATATCCTCCTCCCTTGGCAGCCGTGCTCTCATTCCGATGATGAGGTTCATGCGAATCCAGAGTTGATTTAGCGGGGATGCTCAGTGGTTTCGCGCGTGACATCTCTGACATAGAATATCATATAATATGTGAATTGAGGGCTGACTCAACAACTTCAAGGGTATCTATCTCGAATGTCGACCTAATTACAACGCGTATAACCGCAAGCTTTGCTCTGTCAGTGAAGCTTGACCCAAAAGACTAGGGCATTTCTTTCTCACTCATCACCCTTTGTTATCGCTCCCCTGGTCCCGTACCCAGTCCGCAAAATCTTTCCTTTTTACCTGAGTGAATCGAAAGACATCAGCCCACGAAACCTGAGTGATAGATCTAGCACATTGGCGTAGACCTAGATTTACATCTTCTTTTCAGTCGGTTGCATGGAAGACCTACCCTTATATCCACAAAGCCAAGCCTATCCTCCAACCCCTGGAATGGCCCACCCCCTCCGCTTTCTCTTTCAGCTCTCCCTGCCCATACTCTCCAGCTTATTGGCTTGAGCTCTTCGGCACCAAGGACTAGTCCAACGCATATGAAGACTACTGAGAGGACGGTCTCTATCGAGATGTCGAGCGGGAGGCCCGCTGCCAGGTGAAGTGCTGAGTGCTCATAGGCTGAATAGCATCTGCGAATTTTTGGAAATGTCAGCACTTTTCGAAGCAAACCCTGGGGGCCTTACGCGTGGGCAAGAAGAATGGTACCCAGTGCGATTAGAGCTTTAGAGGAAGAAGAAGCCATTCTGATTTTTTTTTTAATCGAACACGTCTACATTAGAGCAATGCGTCGGACGGAGGTCGGCGCGGTAGCCGCCACCACCGCCAAGCCCGCGGCAATATTGCTTCAACGATTGCAGGACATCATCAGCAAACAAACCCCATTTTTTACTTCCTCTCAAACTCTCATCTAGATATGGCTCAAAAATGTATCCATAATGGGTGTGGCAAGAAATTTACAGACACCGAAGAAGAATGCGTGTACCACCCTGGCCCACCAGTATTTCATGAAGGGCAGAAAGGTGTCTGGGCGCCCTCTCAATGGCCTATCTGAATCTGTCAAACACTGGCTGACTCCATGAGATAGGCTGGAAATGTTGCAAGCCTCGATTTTTGACATTTGACGAGTTCCTTTCAATCCCACCCTGTACTACAGGAAAGCATTCCACAGTTGACGAGACACCCCCTCGCCCACCGCCCAAGGTTTTAGAAGATGTACCTCCCCCAACAAAACCGTTAGCTACGAATGGCGCCATCTGGAAATTACCGGCACCCCGGGCGGCCCAGCCGGCTCCGCCTGCCACCCCATTTCTTGCCCCCCCAGAATCAGACTCCGACGATCCTTCTATCCCAGTACCATCAAATATCACTTGCCGTCGACGGGGCTGTAACGCCACTTCTGCAGTGGAATCTCCTTTATCGCGAGGTGACGAAGAATGTGTCTACCACCCAGGGCAAGCACTGTTCCACGAAGGGAGCAAAGGATGGACGTGCTGCAAGAGGCGAGTGCTGGAGTTCGATGAATTCATGAAAATTGAGGGCTGCAAGCGGAAAAGCAACCACCTTTTCGTGGGGAGCAAAAAGCAGTCTGCACAGGAAGAAGCAGTATCAGAGGTCAGGTAGGTTGGCGTGCTCCACAGCGGAGGTGTATCCGGAAATCATGGGGTGTGATTTGTTGACAACCATTTTTACAGGCATGATTTCTATCAGACTCATACGAGCGTAATAGCAAGCTTGTTCTTGAAAAAGATTGACAAGGGCCGCGCAAAGGTCGAGTTCACTAGCCAAACCGCTGTGCTTCTGGATCTGCCCACGGAAGACAACAAGAGATACAAAACCGAGCTTCCATTGTTTGGACCTATCGATACTGCTCGATCTATGTACAAGATCATGGGGACCAAGCTAGAAATGACGCTCGTGAAAGCGGACGGACTAAGCTGGCCAGCGCTCAGGAGTGACGAGCAAAGGACGAGTGAGATCATTCAGGTTGGTCGTGCTGGAAGAGCGTAGTCAATGAAATTGATCAGAGATTGACTCCAAATCTTTTGGTTCTCATGTGGATTCGATCCATGAGATTGATGGCTTCTCTCTAGCTGAGCTACTGATTCATCGAGAGACATCCGTCTCTTTGCACCGTTTATCTTCGTCCCATCTCCGTACTACGTTCCCAGGGAGTGTGGTGTCGCCGGGCCTTCTCTAGAGCTGATTGAAATGCTCGACGCGAACGGGGGCAGAGACCGGAGGCCGATCGAGCTGTTCCACTAACGCCTCTTGTTTGAGTTTTAGCTATTCCATACCGGCTCGTGTAACTCCCTCCTAGAAGCTACAATTGCTTCGGCTGATACCATGTTCGAGCTCGGTCTCTATGATAGGTTAGTCCTTAACTCTACCATTGCTTATCATTCCATGCCCTCCATCAGTTCTGGCTTGTCTAAAACCATCCCTCTCATTAGTGCCCATTCTCGTAACGCCTCCCATTCTCCACCTTCCTCTTCGCCCCTCTTGTTCTCGTCCTGAAATCCCCAAGCCCCTGCGACTCGATCTACTAACGCTCTCTCTTCTTCTCTTAACCATCGTTCTCGCAACGGTGTCCCCGTTGCCCACGTTATACGATCCATTTGATCATTAGCAGTTGTAATAGCGACAACTCCAATCGTGGCCGTGAAGCCTACGTATGCCACAATTCCGGCGAATACCATGTTGGTCGCCATCTGATGATCCATACTGTGTTGATAATGAGCTAGCTGAGCAGCTAGGACGTAGGCCGCAGCAGGCGTCAATGCCAGTCCTGAGAATGGCAAAAGGGCGCGGCGCAGGATCTTACTGCGTTTGTAAGCCGTGGTACAAACGCTAGTATCTATGATACTGAGGCAGAGAGTGAGATCCTTGGCTTTAATGGCAGCGGTCAAGGCAGAGTGCGCGAGGACAAGGGGAACCGCTGAGGAAGCACGTTTTGGATTGGCGTCTTTGTACTTGATTGGTAGTCTTCCTGGCTGGGGTATCGGTTTGGATGCATAAAGGTCGAAGATAACAGGGAAAGATTCAGGGCGGCCCAGAACGGATTGTGTGTAAAGATAGGTAGCTAATAAAGCCGGTGTGATGAACACTTTGGGATCTGTTACGATGCTGTGGGCGGTTGAGGAGATACTGTCGGGAGTGGGGTCTTCGAGAATTCGTCTTGATAGCGTCTTCGTAGGGGAGGACATCATTGGGGCTCGAGACTGTTCATCGAGAGACAGTAGGTTGGAGGTTGGAGTCTTTTCGACGCTGGTAGATGTCTCTGGAGACTCAATCGGCTCCACAACGCTCCGTGCTAGATTCTCACATAGTTTCAACGCGCTTTGAACTGCCGATTCGCTTGGTACAGCGTCAGATTTTACCACACTCGCGGCTGTTTCGAGCTCTTCAGCGAGTACCTGCTCAGCCGTTCGTGAAGGCGATGGTATTCTTCTGTTAGGTGGCGATCCTGGTCTCGCTGTTGCTAATGAGCGTGCCAAGTGGCTTATATGTGATATAACGACAGGACTCGCCTTGCGTAAGCAGACGGCATTATAGACTCTCGCATGATGTCTTGATCTCACCAAAGTGCAAACATTGGCATTCTCCACCATTATACCGAATACCCGAGCTCGCGGGCGACTGAAGAGTCTGGTTGCCATTTCCTTTCACGTCAAAAGAATCTAAAACTGGTGTTGGAGAGCAAGCGGGGCGGAGTTTGGCCGCGCATTTGACGACAAAGGCATCAGCTATGAACTTGTACTATTCTATGCGATACCCTTTACATCATTGCACGTCCAATTCTCATAGCTCCTATGGTAAATCGTATCTTCAATTTGTGGGGTCTGAAAACCGGCAAGAGATATACCATAATTCATGTGATGGGATAGTAGTACAACCCCAAAGACAACAACATGCCCGCTCCTCCTCCACCACCCCCTCCCCCTCCGCCTATGCCCGGATTTGGAGGCTCCGGACCTCCTCCGCCCCCTCCACCACCTGGAGGTCCTCTGGGGCCAAGCAAACTGCCTGCTAAGCCGCTGCCGACGGTAGCGAAAGATCGGGTACGTTTGAAAGGAAGCTGCTTCAGCCTACAATGCCTACAATTTCGTAATCCAAGCGATGCTGCGCTGCCTTCAAGGACTCTCGCTGAAGACTGACATCCATTCCAGGGCGCTCTTCTGACAGATATCACCAAAGGCGCGAGGTTGAAAAAGGCTGTTACGAATGACCGATCTGCGCCCATCGTAGGAAAGACGTCTGGGGCCTCAGCAGGTCCGCCAAATGGCGGAGCACCAGCGGTCCCAGGTCTGAGCAGACCTCCAATTGGCCTCGCACCTCCAGTCCCAGGCGCAGGTACAGGAAGGTCGAACCGGGCAAGGAGCAATAGTGAGACTACTGGAAGTGGAGACAGCAGTGGAGCAAGTGCAGCACCACAATTGGGAGGAATCTTTGCTGGGGTCGGTATACCGAAGCTGAGAAAAACAGGAGGAGGTGTGGACACCGGTGCAGATCGAGAATCATCGTACATATCGGATCCGGAAACGTCAAGACAGTCAGCACCAAAACCACCTACTTCCTCCGCACCGAAACCCCCAACGGCACCGAGATTGAACGCTTTGAGGCCAAGCCCACATACAACGGAGTCTTCACCACCGCAGCCATCTGCAGCAGCTAACCCACTTGTTGCAAACCTCAGAAAGCCTCCTCCAAAACCAGCCCAAAGACCAAATTCGGACGCTCCTTTCCGATCTAATTCAGAGCTTCCGCCACGGGCTCCACCACCACCACCGAGCGTAGCAAAACCTCCACCACCACCAATAACCTCAAGGAAACCATCTGCAGCCGCGCCCCCACCACCACCGTCAGCTGTACCTTCTCCACCCGCAGCTCCTCCACCACCGCCCACCTTTGCTCCTCGACCTCCTCCTAGTGCGCATACACCCCCTCCAGGTCCACCACCACCACCGTCTTCAGCACCTCGACCTCCTTCGAATGCGCCTACGCCCCATGCAGCTCCACAACTACCACCAGGTGCAGCACCTCGGCCGCCTCCAGCTCGTTCAACGCCACCACCTCCTCCAAGCCCACACTCTTCATATAGTGATAGTATTAGTCAATCGGTTGCAATGCACGCAGCACGGAATGCTTTTGGGAACGCGTCGAGCTCTCCTGTGGCACTCCCACCGCCTACGCCTGCTTTTTCTTCCCCCTTGAAGCAATCAACGCCAGCAAAACCCCCACCAGCCCCTTCAATGCCTCCGCCGTCCAAGTCAGCCTCTCAGCAAGCAATTAGAGCGACACTGGATCCAAGCTCGTACACCTTATCCAACGGCACTAGCCCCAGTCAGGTTATCACTCCCGCTCGAGACAACATATCTCCAAGCAGAAACGGAATCACCAAGATTGAGGACTCGAGATGGCGATTCCAACCTGAAAGCGAACTACCTAAACCAAGAGAATTCATTGGAGGGCCGAAGAAGTATAGAGCAGGGCGAGGAAGTAGTGTACCACTGAACCTTTCTCAGTTCCGTTGAAGCGCGTTACTAGAAATCAAGATAATTTACCACAAAACAAAGCTTGCTTCAAGACAAGAAAGGAGACCGATCGAAAAAGGCATAGGTGCTTGCGATTGTAGCCAACTAATCAAATTAGAGATGATTTCCTGAAAATACCTCACATGCATGACAACGGGGGTAGAGTCCCAAGACTTGGAGCCAGAGATAGAACGGTGACCCACGGTAAGATGCCTCTGAATCGATCAACTAGAAGGATGTCTTCCTTTTTGATTGGCTCAGGAGTGTGGCAAAGGCCTGGCATTCAGGCATACGTTCTTCTTCAAGAATTAGACAGCGGGCTTGAATCGCTGTGCTCCCGGGCACGACATGCCTTACCAGCCAGATGAAGGCTCACTTGCTCCAACAGTATTGACGGCCCTGGGTAATGTGCACTTCGTTAAAGTTTGGACTGACTCCCTTGACCTCAGCCAAATATCTGGGCAAGAGGAAGCTTGGAATTGAGGCTGCCAACACCAGAGACAAATTCAGATTCCGATTCTGCAGGGGCCCGACTGACCTCGCAGACGCTGCTTGGCGATGTTATCCCAGTACGAGCTTTTTGTCTTCAGTTTCGCTGGAAGGCTCGGCGCGAAGCTATCCACTACCAACACTCAAAATCGGCAAGTCACCAGTCTGTATTCGCAGTTCCCCATCTTCGTAGGAGCTCTCCGCTGAAACCCAAATGCAATGCTCAGGCATACTCCAACTTCCTGTAAACCGATGTCCTAGCTCTCTCACAGGTGCACACCATCTTGAGCCTCATCGTCATCATCTTCTTCCATCTGCTCCCTTAATCTTCGGGCGAGCTCTCCATCTCCAAGCTGTCCACCAGAACGCGGTGTACTCGGCCCACCACGGGTACTCGTAATCCGTGATGCCCTTCTGATCTCTTCGACACCAGCATGCCCATTCGACTCTACATTCTCTGGATTTGTCTCATCTTCACCCCACTTGAACCCTCTACCCTCGACTTCCCGTTTTAGCAACGAGATTCGCTCTTCCATCCTCTGTGTGACCACTAGATTCTCTCGAATTGCTTCAGCACAATCAGAATCTCCTTCATCTGCAAATGGTTGCAATTGCTGGTTCGAAATCAAGAGATGTGCGATCGAGTTGCGAACTTCGGCAGCTTTGGAGTGTAGATTGGCAAGAGGCAGCTCTTTGATGGCTTCCGCGAAGCGCTGGGGTGGTATTGGAATAGCAGTCGAGGACATTGAAGTGGTGTTGCAAACAAAATTCCGCGACTGCTGAAAGCTGTGGCTGAATCAATAGGCCCCGACTTTCCGATGTCTTGGCAATTGGTGTTGAGGATTCACTACGAGAAAGTAGTTCGCCTTTTGTGATTGAGATATAAGTTCTTTCAATATCGTGCACTTTTGCTGCTAATAATAGTGAAAGGCGTGAGATGACCGCTGTCCTCTCGGTGGCATGGCTATCTTTTCGCCTTGGGCTACATGCCTCTCCGATTGGACGGGCAGGTCTCGCAACGTTGCGGGAGAACCTCAGCTCTTCAAGCCAGCCAAAGCAGCATCCCCGTAGTATACATGGGTTCCTCCAGTGCTCACAAGGTTCTCCTCCCCAAAGATGCAATGCAAGGCCAATAATAGCTCCTTACGGACATTTCCCCCAACTCAGCGGACAGGCAAGATGCGCAAGCCTGTGGAAGAGCAAACCGGAGGAGTCACCGAGGCAAAAAGCTGCTCAAAACCTGGCTCCCATATCCCGAGCCGAGATCAAGGCAGTAGTTGGATTGAAGGTAGACCGGAGAGACGGCAATGACCTCCTGAAGCGTCTACAAGAGCACAGACATCACGGAACTTTGGACCAGAAGTTGCCATATCCTGATGCCTTAATAGAAAAAGGCCTGACATATCTTCGTGCAAAATATCCTTTTGATGAAGATGCCGCCATCCTCGCACGCATAGACAGGGAGGCAGATCTGGAATTTCGACTACCCCAAACGAACATCGACCAAAGTCCTCAAGCGGTGTCTCAATTTGAAAAGCTCATGCGAGAGAACAGAGAAAGACGTAAAGAAGAAAGGGCAAAAAAAGAGACGGAAAATCAAGAGAGCCTAGCAGAAGAAGGTGCCAAGGCGGAGAGAAGGGTGACAGTAAGAGATGGAACGGCCCTCGTCCAGCTACGCCAAGAGCCAGAATGGGTCCAAAAGTATCGAGACAAAGCACAGATGAAAGAACTCCCGGAGACGTCAGCATGGGCAAAACTCCTACCCTCTGGTCTTGTGACACTCGCGGTTGTGACACTCGCCGTCTTGTTTGCACAAAGTTACAAGCAGCCTTCGCGCAAAGCCCGACTTTGGCCAGATCTACCACCCGCTGCTGCCACCGTAATCACACTAATTGGTGTCAATGTTGCAGTCTTTGTGCTGTGGAGGCTACCGCCCTTCTGGACATTCCTGAATAGATACTTCCTCGTGGTGCCTGCATATCCGCACTCGATGTCAATGCTTACGGCTTGTTTCAGCCACCAGTCCCTCGCCCATTTGCTCTCAAATGTCATCCCTATGTGGCTCATCGGCACTCGCCGTATGTTTACACCCATCCCCTAACCTTCAATATGCTGGATCTGACCACGCGAAATAGTACACGACGATATTGGTCGCGGGCCGTTTCTAGCTCTCTACTTTTCTAGCGCAGTGATTGCAGCATATATACCCATGGTTATTTATGTCATGAGAAATTTCCTCGGTACAAGTACGCTAGGAGCTAGTGGTGTCATAACAGCACTTCTTGGGACACTTTGCGTTCTCCATGAAGGGTAAGCTGCATGTTGTGGAAGCAATTTCGATTACTTCTAACACCTATCTAGCCAAAACATTACACTCCCTTTCTTACCACCAGCATGGACAAGAGGGATTGAGACCGCTTTTCTTCTCCTTTTCTTTATTCTTTTCGAAGCAATGAGCCTGCGCAAATGGGGTATCGCGTCCACCAAATTGCTCAATACAGGAAGGCCACACGTCGACAATATGGGCCATTTGTCCGGTTATTGTGCAGGTATTGGTGCTGGCGCACTCATTCGGTCCACCGATCCTAAATGGAAGAACGCTGAGAGAAAGCATTTCTTCACAAAGGACTTTGGCAAGGGTTAAGGTCTCGCCGTTGCACGATTGGAATTCCGTATTTTCGAACCGTTCGATAAGTAACCATCAGCATTTCTGGCCCAGTTTCGCGCTTGGAGCTCTTACAAAATCGAAACTTACTTTTGGACGACGAGGCAGCTTCGGAGGCTTCTCAGAGAAGCTGTTTCTGAACGCACAGCTCACATGAAGAGATCATCTAGCCATCAGGACGTTCTAGTATAAGACGATGTATACCTGTTTACTCGAGCTTTGATGTTGAAGGTGCCGCGTAGGGTCGTCCGTGGATCGCCTACAGAGTGCGCTAGACCATTGCAGAGACCTCGATTTGTGGGGATGCAGGTAGGTTGAAGAGCATGGTAGGGGCCTTTACTGGGGCGAACGCTCTATAAGATCAAGGAAAAGAGAAGAACATAAATGTAGTATATTTAGAGTTCAAATAGGCCCTTGGTATCACGTTCGCAAATACGCAGCGAGACCTCCGCCCATGCACCTATACTGGGTGTCGAAATCTCTATCCTTAGGCAGAAAGTGCACAGCCCTGTGTTCAAACGTCAATTTCCTTAAGCCCCATTGTCAGCTCTAAGGCTGATTCGAACTCAGTGGCGGTACTGCAGACCGTCAGCTTACCTCCGGTGCTGTTGAAACTTTTGACTTACTACTGGACCCATACCGTTCCGTCCTCCCGTCTCTACTGCCGCGATGATCCACTTCCACTCGAAAGCACACGTCCAATCCTCAGGGCAATGTCCCCTCGCCCATACCACTTGCAGCAGGATGTTCCGTACCTGCCCCTTCCTCGCTATGATGAAGCGGGAACTGCCCATTCTTTGCGGGGTTTCTATTTATTCATGGGGGTATTGATGATGGCTCATAGTCTCTATGGATGCCATGTCCATTGGCATGGATTGAACCAATGGAGTTCAAAGGATTGATACTGATGATCGCGTAATTTCTACCAGACATCATGGGACGTGACATTCTGCTCGAGTCTCCCAGGGTCCTTGTCGAACATCTTCATTAGCGTTTCATGGGTGTCATGGTCGAGGTGGTGAATCCTGTCTCTCCGTGCCAAAAAGTCCGCTATCGCTTCAGGAGGCGGCTTGTTCGATATAGCTGACGCAATCACATTTACCATATAACGATGATCATGCTCTACTAGTACACCCAGCTCAGTCTTGGTGTAAAAGCGGCCAAGGGCTGCAACGTGGACGTCGCCGCTAAGAACTGCGACCCTAACGTTGTGGTCTTGGGCCAGAGATTGAAGACGAAGCAAAAGATCCTTTCTCTCTTGTGTATGCCGGCGCGCAGTATTATGGTCGTCCAGATCGTCAAGGAGTCTACCTGGCCATCGAAACGATTGAAGAATTTTCCGGCAACGCTAAAGCGCTTGCTGAGAAAGCGGATAGGGCCTATCACTGGAGATTTCAACAAATTTTTCGAGCCAGACGAAACGAGGGTATGTTATAGGCATCTCTAGGAGGACAACGAGGTGGGTAATTTTGCACTTCCCTCCCGAGAGCTCAGAGCGGACTCCCTGGAAGATCACATCAAAGGTGTCTGGGTAGTTGACCCTTCGGCGAGTTCTCTCGGTGCGACCGTCAACACCAAGGAAGGCAAGAGTTGTGCTCAAGCAACTATATAGAGAACGGGAGTGTTCCGAAGGGTACGGGCCAGGGCATTCCCCTATGATAAAGCTCGAGTCTTCAGACTGATGTTCGGGAAGGATGGACTGCTTTTGCCGCGTGGTAGGGGAAGTGAATGAGACTTTAGGAGGTGGGATGTGGTGTTGGAAGAGGCAATAGTACTTTAGGAAACACCGCCAATGCCGCGGAAGACAGCGCGTTTCATAAAGTTGTCGGTGTAGGGTCAAGAACGTCAATAGTATCTAGACTCTGTCAGCTTTCATTAGGTGGTGAGACGCGAAAGTAAACAGGCTTACCAAGTGGTTATCTGTGGAATCTGGCCGTTGGCGATGGCAAAGGGCTCCGTAAAAAACCATCTCACCTAAACAACATCTTCGTCAACCTCTACTTTTGCAAGAAATTATCATGGCACGGAATCTGGCAATGAAAGGTTGCGAAACAGCTCTTCAGTCCAAAGGGCGATACGAACTGAATCAAGTCATTTGAAAAGCAGACTTATATGATTAGCAGATAGTAGGAATCGCAGGCGGCTCGCAGCTCCTCATCGAAAGGGTAACCTCTCCTCTTTTTCGGATTCCCAATCTCTGTCCAAGATTTCAATAAGGCGTCCACCCTCACACCACCATTATAGATCTGGTCTTCCCTCCTACCATAGCATGGCATGGTTTCTGTGCGTGTACGCGGAGAACATCGTTCCACAATGCGGGGCCCGACCATTTATCCTCATCTTTTCCAACAGAAAAACCATTGCAGGAGTGAAACATGATACGCATGGATTGAGAAGCCGACGGCATGACGAAGGTACGGAAAGGAGAAGTTCATGGTTCGCTGCCAGAAGGTCGTTCGTTTGTCAGTGCATACTGCCAGCGTGCTTTGTGATCCTTAAGCGCAAAATCTACTGCAAAACGCCAGAACTCTTTGACTGAGTCTGAATAGTGCTTGAAGACAGAAATCCCACTCGCATGACGTACTTCTGGTGGGTTGGGAGTCGATCCCTTGCGTACGTTCTCAGGCTCGTCAATGTCATTTGGCAGTGAGCATCCGCTCTGGCTCATCTGGCTCCGGATCCCGAGGCACTCGAGCTTTAGATATGGGTGAACTGAAAACCGGGTTGGCAACGATCAAGACATTCCCATGCCAGAACGCCGGGACCTCGGACTCAACAATTTGCATGCCCTTATACTTCAGTAGCGGCCCACGCAAGATGTCCAATGCGTCGTTGACAATCAGAAGCCTTGGATTGTTGACTGGCGGAGGGCCTGTAGTCTTGACAGCCGGTGTAATCGGTTCATTATCACGTAAGACTGGATCCGCGGGTTCGTCTGGCATCTACCTGTGCTGAGTATCTGGGCAAATCGAGACTATGTGGGCCGTGATGTTGATTGGCTTCTATTCTTGGTATTCTAAAAGGTTTCTGAGTTTGTTTGTTTCAGCTTGGATGGCGAAGCCACCGGCAGTCTTTTAGGGCGCCGCGTCGAATTTGAGGTTTAGAGAGCTCGTTGCAAAACGGGGGGAAGTTAATTGGATTTTTGATGCTGTAGGAAGTGGGTATCTGGAAGTAGTTGCCAGCAAGTACTTCCCAATGCAAGAGGAGAAGGAGCAGGTGAGAAAGGGGTATATGGAGAGGTTGAGAGGTTGAGAGGTAGAGAGGTAGAGAGGTTGAGAGACTGAGAGGTTGAGAGGTTGAGAGATTGAGAGATTGAGAGATTCTGTTTCGGTGAATATGATTGCTGCAGGAGCAAAGAAGAAAAATGAAAAAGGCGACCTTCAGATTGCCCGAATGACTTGGCGCGCTGCTGACTGACGTTGAGGTCATTCGTCATTCATCATTCGTCAATTTCCTGAGACCCATGAATGAGGCCATCTCGCGAAATCTACATCTGACCGTATCCAGAAGAAAAAAAGAAAAGAAAAGTCTTATTATCTGCGACAGCCCTTGCTCAGGCGCACGAACGTCCTCAGACGGGTTGAGAATTTCAGATAGCTGTAATGTCTTCGAAGCGAGTTGTATGTCATCGAAGCTGTGCCCTTGATGACTTGCTTAGAAAACGAAGTTCGCATGATCTATCCATTCATTCCTCTGCCCCTTTGGTACAAATTGACCGTTACTTCGCCGTATCGCCCGCTATGCAATAGAATCTCATACGCTAGGCACTGCTGAGTGGCTACGCTCAATCGCTCTTGCACTTCGCCGCCTATTGGGGCGGCACAATAGCGCAAGCGCCCTTTGCTGCGTCGGCAGGAATAGACCCGTTGGCAATCCAAACGTCGATCAAAGGCTGCATCGGCTCCGCATCCCGGTCCGCGAGAAGGCCGTAGAGTTTGGCGACTGTGCAAAAGTGGACGAAGCAAGAATTGAGATCAGTCCAACCTTGTCCGTTGTTCTGCCCGCTCAAGTGCCAGAAAGGGTCGACCCAATGAGAGTGATAAAGGTGCGCGTAGATGCGGAAGATTTGACGAAAGCATGTGCGGCAGTCGTGGAGGAATGTCTCTGGAAAGCCTGCGCTCTTGCCAATCCAATCGCGACCGTCAGTATTCACGCTGCCGGGCGTGTTCGTATCCGCGGATCTAGTAGGAGTCTCGGTAGGGAACGCTTTGGGGTCGTGGATCTTGCCTGTCATCCACCTCTGGACTAAAGAGATGTACTGCGGTGCCGACACGGCAACCGGGTCTTTCTTGTGGTCCAGCCAGGTATACGTGTGGCTGTCGAAGGTCAGAAACATCTCTTTGGAGGTCATCGGATAGGCTCACCGTCCAGCAGCCATTCTTGGGCATGAGTCGGAGTTGCACACTGGCTTTCCAGTGTTGTGGTCTGTTTCCTGGATGCATTGACCAATGGTCGAGACGATGCGATAGTTCTCGACAGCTGTCCGATTACCCGTTAGCAAACCTGTAGTTCATAGAAGATGTCAACGACTCTACAGACTTTGGTGAGCGAGCCAATCCGCAAGGTCCACATTTGCAGGCTGAGCTGCTAAAGGCATAAAGTTGCCTTTCACCCCTAACTTGGCGTATTTTTCTCGAAAGAAAAACTTAGGCGGCTCAGCTGCGGCGGGTTGTTCTGCATTACTGGCGACACTGTCCGAGCTCAGGCCAGTGTTGGATGAAAATGATGAAGATTGATTGAGAGGCGGCATCGTAGGCGAGAAGGTAGTCGGCGAAGGATTTGGGGAGCCGTTGGCTCTCTGCTGGCTCGTATTGATATTTCCGGTGCCTTCGTTCTGACGATTGAAGCCTTGTCGCCTGAGGTAGCGCACCAAAGTCAGTGAGCTAAACAATCCATCTTGATAGCGTAAGGAGATAGGTAGTTCTTGCTCTACACGACTCGTCTCTAACTGCATGAAGGAAGGGGAATACCGCAAGTCCACTGCATTGGTACGAAGATGTCCACTCGACGGCATAAGCTCTGTAACACGGAACACAGTACAGAAAGGCATTCTTGGTGTAGCTGGGAAATAAGACAGGAAGAAGTGCGTGTGAGGTGCGGAAGGATCAAAGGAAAGCCAAGAGCAACACGGTCAAAAGCCACTACCAGGGAGCTGAGGGTGATGCAGTGGCATGATGGTAGAAGTCGGGGGTGAGAAATTCAGTGACTCGCATGCGAAATAAATTCTGGTTGACCGCTGAGGCGACTAAGCAAGTCTTCAAAGACAAGGTAAGACAGAAAATAATCCACGCCCAGCAGATCTTAACGCCTGCTTTCGTGATGAGACTTACATGTTACGGAGCCAAGAAGTCATCATGAGCAGGGGAGCCACTGCGTGTTTAGTTCTAATAACATTGACAATCCTGCAGTGATGTTGATAAAATTTCAGCTGCTTCAGCGATGAAGTGCGTCATTTGACGATATATGTTGACAAGAAAAGAGAATGGATTCCCCTTCAGGGACAGATGAAATTGAACAAAGAACCTCGGAAGACACCCCTTGTTTGGTTAATGCTTTCCCCGGGAAGCGCCGCCTCGCTTGTGTTAGGTGAAACAGCTAGTTCCGGCGATCGGGAGAGGTATTATTCCGAGATCAATCCACCTCATTCCCCAAATCCCAAAGTATTTACAGGATTACCACTTAAAACAGATCATCGGAGTTACATCTACATCATGTCACAAATACACCCTTCATTTTAAATCCTGGACCTTTGGAACATCACCTACGGAGGGCGAGTGGAGATCAAACTTCTTCCATACAGTCACAAGCGATGAGCACCTAGCTACCTCGCCGAATCCTCCGGACTTTAAGTCTTTCAGCGCACGCAAATCATTGGACAGCCTGAAATGTCTGACGAACAGGATGTCAGTATAGCCAGTGATCAGGACCAAGTCGACGATCAGCTCAATAACGAGGATGATGGGGGCCTTTTTGGATCAGGATCAGAAGACGAGCAATCCGGGTGTGAAGCTTTTCTATACTACGATGAGACGGAGCTGACTTTTGTAATCTCAGTACCGAGAGTATTAGTAATAAACGTCGCAAACTCGATGACGCCGAGCTAGATTCTGGAGACGATGAAGGCAGACTCGATCGTGTTAAAGATGGCGTCAATGGACACGGCAAGGAACAGGAGATGTACGATCGCTTGGCAAATATCTTGGATATCTCCATTGGCCGTCATCCTGTTCCGCAACCTAGTGACGGCGAGGTGTTTATTTTCACCCATGCTTGGTCTACCCAACGGTAAAAATATCGTACTAATACTTGCAATAGCTCTATCTGCTTCAATTACCCAATTTCATTGGCATCAGTCCAGAAGGCTTCACATTGAAGAACTTCAAACCTCCGACCACCGATCATCACTCTTCCGATCCGCCTTCGTCCACGTTCTCAGCGTATCAGACATCCAACAACACCATACGCTGGAAACACTCACCTAGCGACCCAGAGAAGACCCAATCTAATGCACGAGTTCTCCGCTGGTCCGATGGTTCATTGACCCTTCAGCTCGCATCAAACCCTCGCGAGCAATTCGAACTCGCTGCAAAGCCCCTCACACAACCACAAAGCAATCCAATCAAGCCCACCCCAACATCTGTGAACCGTAATCGTAACCAGGGTCCGGTGCCCTACAACTCCCGTCTTGATTCTCATACCTATCTCGCTGCCCCTCACGAATTTGGCGAGATTGTCCGCCTCACAAATCACATCACCGCGTCGCTAGCGGTCCAATCTTCGGCGGATCAAGACGACGAGGCGCTAGCGCGCCTTCAGCAATCTTTAGCCGCTGCGCAGAAAGGCAACAAGAACACTTCGGATGGCGGCTTGGCAGTTATCAGCATCAATGAAGATCCGGAACTTGCAAAGAAAAGGGCTGAATTAGCTGAAAAGGAGAAGTCAAAAATGCAGCGCCGCATGCAGGTACAGCAAGACCGAGAATCTACTCGGAACAGTAATGTTCTCAAGCGCTCGGGCTTACGCACGGGTGGAATGGGCGCTGGCCTTACCATTGGCGGTTTGGAAGATGACGACGGCATGGCCACTACGAAAGGAAGGACCGGCAAGTCGAAGAGTCGGAAGTCAAGACGTCGCAATAGCGAGTACAGCGAGGATGAAGAGGACTTCCGAGGCAGAGGGCGCACAAGGGAGGACGAGTATGACGAGGAAGATGGGTTTTTGGTGGGAAGTGATGTGGAGCCGGAAGTTGGCGAGGAGAGTGAGGAGAGTGAGGAGGATATTGACATGGGCGATGATGGGGACGAGGAGGATGGGGAGGAAAAGAAACCAAAGAAGAGAAACAGTGAAGAGGTCGCTGGGGGGAGGGTAAAGAGAAGAAGGGTAATCGAGGATGAGGATGAGGACGAGGAATAAAAGTGGGTCGCACCTGCTATTATAATGAAACGCTGCTCTTCATGAGGCTTGGAATAGTGGTTTAGAACATCTCATACATGACGCATAACATAGAGGTCGTTTTAGGTCGGTTGAAAAAGCAAGCCCGAGCAGGCATGGGTCTCAGGCCGGTCAAGTGTCTTAGATACCCGCAAGATATAGGACGTGCGAAGCTTTCTCCATTGTTTTATGGAATGACTGGCTTCTCGTCGGCTTTCGAGAGGGTTAATATTGCCCATTTAAAACCCTTTTCAAGTGGTGAAGAAGTCACACTGCTGCCGAGGGACGATGTTTCTACACCTCAGCCAGTGTCTGGCGCTATACCATGAGCTCTGTCCTGCCCACAGAATACCTCTCCAACGCAGACATTGCCAGATGGGACAATACCATGGTGTGTATACTATGGGAGCGAATTTCTCTCCATTACGGATCCGGACCACCGTTTGAGTTGCAAGACCTGGTTCGGGAGCAAAATGCTTTGGATACGCGTTTGAGCTCTCCCATTGCTCGGTGTCCTACCTTGAAGAAGCAGTATCGATTCCGAATAATTTATCGGAGGCCTTCAATTTCTTCGATGATGATGTCGATGCTATCCTGCTCCAGACTCGCTTATTGAGTTGTCCTACGACCTCGCCGTAGGAGGTAGTTGCAGATACAACGCCAGCGCCAACACTGAGGATATCGTGGGATACGAATAGGTATGCATGGTCCAATACTGTTGCTCTTCTGCCCTTCATAGCTCCGTCAGCCGCAACCCTAAGGGTGACTTTACATGGAACCCAGAATGGACTATAGAGGATGCTTGCGCTTTCAATACTTGTCAGCAATCGAACACAGGCAATCCGGAATTGGGAGGGATAGGGCCGCGTCCTTCTCGTTCTCACAATGCGGAAGGGAAGATCATGCTAATGTTCCTTCAAGATTGTCGTCGCATACTTTATCGAAGCGCCTCTTTTAGCCCTCGGCCTGGTAATGTTTGGCATCAAAATCATTACCGATTATGTGACGCGTAGGCGCAGTATAAGGCACAACGAGAAATGCTCGAGGCACACGAAGCGGCTACACTAGCGAGTACCGGCGTTTTCCTGGACAGGTCCGTCTACTTCGCACTTTCCATCTGTTTCGCAGCCATCATTTTCAACTATCGAGACAAGCCTCTCCTGTATGAAGACAGTACGTATCATTAGATTTTCAGTTTCCTCTCCCGATGCAAACTTTGAGTCTTGCGTTATGCCAGGGTATTATTTACCCCGGAGACATGTTTCTAAAGTCGAACGCTCTTCTTGGAGAGGTTACGCTGATTCTGGATTTCCACTTAGAGCTTGGTCAAGCCTCGACACTGCTTACAATCAACGCGCCTGGCGATTCTGCTTCTATTGTACACTTGCGTTGATAGAACTGATTGCCGGACTTTACTCGTTGTGGTTGCAGCACTCATGACCTTTACCATCCAATTCCTATTCCGGAAAGCGCAAAGTTTCAACGTTGGCGCGGGCCTTGGCAGCAATCTGTGTCTGAACTGGTACTCCTTTGTGAAACAGGGTTTTGAAGGTGAGTCTACCTTTTGGTGTGGTTTTCCTCCAACGCCTACCGCATTTCGAGACGTTATGTATATCTTGAGAGTATTTGTACTCCTCTGGCACTTTCGCGCCTCAAATACTGACCTAGAGAAGGATTGCTGGCCCAGCAATCTTGAAGACCACTTCGTTTGTCAAGGCGATATGGGCAGGCTTTGTGGTTTTGTTCTTTATGGGCCACTTCGTTCCCTGACAAAATCTCGAGCCAAGGCCACGTTGGAGGTTTGGAATGCCCAGAAAAGTACAACGGCAATGAGAGGGAATTATGGCATCGCGGTCGATTTCTTGGGGGAAAAATATGCGGCTCCTCTCAACATTGACCCTGACGGTCGCCGATCGCTGACGTTTCTTAGTCTCACATCTCTGCGGTTTCCTGTACAGCCAGAGGGCGAAGGTCTCTTGGGGGAGTCTTGCGGCCTCCTTGCTTGCAGCTTACGCCCTGTTTGACTCCTACTACGGCATTAGATTCTTTTGGTACCTATGTAATCAGGAAAAGGACATTTTCTCAAACGACACGGAGAGCGAATGGGCTTACGGTCAGATCGTCGCGGTCTTTGTTTGGGTGCCAGTGCTTGTCGAGTATATCTATGTTCTGGGATGGGGACTGAGGTTCTGGGGGAAGTCCGAAGCTAGAGAGCAAATGACAGAAAGTTGTATCACGCACAGATATGCCAAGGTTAACCAAGAGCAGGTTGTGACCAAGATGGAGAGACATGGGCTACGCTCAGATTAAATCTGCTCAATGGAGAGGAAGCTTTGGGTAAGGTCTTTGGTCCCATAGCTAGACATCCTTTTGAGCAATTGCCAATAATGTGACTTGCTTGTTTGTTTGTTTGTTATTTGTTTGTTATGTTAATTATACTGCGGGACAGGCGTCAAAGCCTAGAGCAGTGTGTACTCCTACCGCTACCTAGTTACAATTAACATCATTGAGTATAGACCTTCCTACACCGTATTCACGATCAACAACTATCGGCCGTAGTTCACCGTTATTAACCCCTTAGAGGACTAACCACGCGAGAGACATAGGAATTACTCTAGATATAGAGAACTCGAAGGAAGGCGATTATCGGTATAATACCAGCACTATCTCTATCTTTTCTCACGTATAGTATAGTAGCTAGCTCTTCCCCTCTTGCAGGTATAGCCATAGCCAGCTTTATTCATTCATCTCATATAATCGTAGATCGAGCTCCTTCGATCAGACGACCCTTTAGATATTCGCGCCACGTGGTCTCTCACGTACCTAATCTACGGTTTCCAGCCGTAGTACGGCGCACTAAGTTCCGTGGAAGTTCCTTCGTATTCCCCTCAAAATGATATCATAATGTATGAGTGCAATGTGAATTCGTAGATAACAGTTGTCATGTGTCGACGCGTGTCTCCTGGAATCGACGACGTGTCCCTGTAGGATTCGAACCTACACTATAGCTGTATAAAGCACAGGTCTACAGCACCAATAGCAGTGTGTGTCGAACACCACTGTCGGGCCAATAATGTACTTGAATCTTCAACCCGAGGAGTTTACGGTACCTGAGGCAAGGCTGGGCATCAAGGGCCAGGGCCACTATTCTAGCTCCCGCTCTAGCGCGCTCGGGATTTTTTCTACCCACAAAGGACGTCCCAAGTTCGCTTTGTTCTTGTTTTCTCATCATCAGTAGTAAAATTAATTTTTACAATCTGGGAGCTCCGCTTCGGCGGCTTGCTGAGGGTCATCCCGGTGAGCTTCTTATGAAGTTCCCATCTGGTTGGGCTTCCGTTCCCGGCTCCCTTGAGTGATGGCTTCTGCCAGGCCTTGGTTCTTTCCTACCAGTCGCGTCGTGTCTTAGAGGGGCGGGGCTGTGGAATCGATGCTACATACACCTTTGCTTTAGCAAGAGCTTGAAGAGTGGCATGTCTGAGGACTGTGGATATGGGGACGTGGATCAACAGATAGTGGGAAATGGGTGGTTCGCAAAGGGATGAAAGGCTGGAGGGAGTGGGTAGGGAAATGGTGCGAGGTTCGGCCAAAGAGGTGATGGCCACACCTCAGTATAGCGCTGCATCTATCTCTTCCTGCATTCAACCCTGATAAAACGTCGCTATTGCGACATGTCATCCCAGGTAGTAATAGTTGTGAGAACCTAAGGGGATAATGTTTTTTTTCAAGCATCTGCCATACACTGAGACGGCTTGTCACGCAATGCAAATTTTCGTATCTATGGCTTGAGTGCTAAGGAGTACAACACGAGATGCCTCCCCATATTGCAACGATCAGTATCTAGTACAACCGCTTGGGCGGCGACATAGACGCCTTAATGGTCAAGCTGCCCACGTTCTGCCATCCCTTCTTCAATAGACTGACCAAGTAGTTGATAGCCAACATGATGTTCGAGATCAGCTCGTCCTCCGTCATGCCCACATTGCCAACAGCGACACCCAAGCAGAGCACCTTCTTCAACTGAAACTTGATCGTGGACTTGACCTCAGTGATCTTTGCGTTCAGGTCTTCGTTATGCGAGATTGGGGTGGGGAATTTGCCAGCTGGCGTTAGGTTAGCGTAAGTCGGCTCTGTGCTGATAAGGAAGTATACCCTTGGATAAACCGGGGCCCAAGAGACGAGGAATCTGTTTGATCAGAGTGTCACTGGAAATGAAGCTATCGTATTTCCGAGCCAGTTTTTTGATGAGCTTTTTGTTCTTGTTTAGCTTCTTCAAGTCATCTGAGGACATGGCGTCCACGCCGTGATGCTTGGCTCGGTCAATGTCGTGCTGGTCACCCAAGACGCTGTTCGTAGTGGCTTCGTCAGTCTCCGTTGTAGTCCATTCTAGGGTTTTTGGGTAGACCGCATACCAGATGCTCATATTTGGTCGTGGAATAGATGGCAGCTTAATGGTGCCTGAGAAACGCTTGTCACGCTGAGGATCATAGTTCTTAAGACCGATCTTTGAAACGTCAGCAGTTGGAGATTGCAGGAGAACAGGAGGGCAGCTACTTGAAGTTCGACGGTCTCCCTATGGATACAAGTTAGCTTTGCTGCCGTGAAAAGCACCGTAAGCACTCCTAGTAGAGGGTGTCACATACAAGAAGTTTCTCTTCTTCTCATCAAGAGAGTAAGCAAGGAGGGATTGCACATTCGTGCGCACACCGGCGACCGTAATTTTACTCATGATTGAGACAGTCTTCCAGAAGAATTAAGTGAGGAGTTCTTATGGTGAGGATTTTGCGCGTTGATGTTGTTGGAGTGAGTCAAGGAAGTAGATTCACTTGCAGGGCTCGAAATTACCAGGATCTTTTGTGTGGCGAGCCCGTTCTCCAGCCTTGGCGCACAGCCCAAGAACCGCGAGGAACCCTAGGGCCACGATTAGCGACTAAAGTAGGTAAAGAATCCCCCGAGTCTTTCTTTCTACACCAACACGTCTTGCTCTACAGTTTGCAAGTCATTTCAAGCAATCGATATTTTGCGTAGATTTGCTGACGATTGCATTCGATATTGGGGCTATGCTATCGGTTGGAGATTGGGAAACCTGCACCTCGGGCAATCGTTTCTTTCAGCCTCGTCGGTAAGCGCCTTGGTGGCGTGGACTGTGACCTCCCATCTTGGTGCCATCTTGAGAACAGGTCACCTCTACTTACATCACAGGCACCAGCAAGCCTGATGGAGACAACAAGCACGCGACCAGACTCTTTGTCATTAAATCTTCTCGTCATCATTTCGTTTGCTATATAACTGAAGATGCGTGCGGTGATTTCTGCTTTAGATTTCTAAGCTACAGTTGAATTCCTCTGCAAGACTGTTTTTACCGTCCATATGTCCAAGCATCAGTGTCTTGATGAGCGAAATTTCTAAGATGATTGGTGCTTCCTCACTTCCAGAATTTGATGATTTCGATGATGGAAAAGTATATGAAAGATGCCATAAAGCTGCCGCACGTGGAGACACCAGAAATTTCGTGATCGAGTTTGATAGCACCAAAGCATACGCGGCTCACAATCTGAACGACGCCTCTGTGAAACAGCTTTTACAGCTCGAGGTAATTGATTTTGCCTATAACATCCCCGCGATCGAAGGAGACGCGGGATATATACAATTTTGTTCAAACTTTGAAGGCTGACCTTTACCAAAAACCAGCGAGCAAAGCATTCAAGTGCGAGATGGATGTATGTCAACTCTCTACTTTAACCTCTTCAGTACATACTGACTGTGCATCAAGCAACATCTGGGCCCCAGAACAACAAAAGGAAGTGGTGTCGGTGCGTTCTGACCTTCCGACTGCACGTTATCTCATTGATCCCATATCCAGGCATTGGCAGAACATTACAACTTTTCGCCTCGGCTCCGTGGTATCATGAGCTCCGATCATTCTACGATTGCCCAAGTAGCGCCCGCGACTCCTCATCGTCGTGTCCTCTCGCGAGGCAAGAAGCCCGACATGGAGCGCAAATCAGTCGAGTCGCAATCGCTCGATCTCGAGAAAGATGGAATGGCGGTTCCCACTTCCCTCCGTCCCCCCATGCTTGATCTGAGCCATTACAGATTGGTGGAAGAAGTGTGGCATTATTGCTCCATAGATTGGAGCAATAAATGTACGGGAACACTAGGTCCTTGAAAACCTGACTGACAGCTTGAATAGATCTCTGTATTGGCTACAATTCGCTTTCTGACACGAGAGCGGATTCGGAATACCGAAGTACTCAAACTTATGAAGACGATTCTGAGTCAACCGAGCATGTAAAAGATAAGCCTAAAGGAATAAGAACGTGGACTTGGGTATGTAGACTTTCGGAGCAATTCTTGTTGTTGTGGACCACTCTCCGAGTGGTGAGACATGTTCTGCGAGCAAAAGGCTTTCCGGTCCCACTGCTCGGATTATTGCTATGAAGAAGGAATGCTGACTCTGAAGTCTTATAGTTGGTGTTGTGTGATGACGGTGAGCCTTTTCGTAGATTGTTTTCACTTGTTACAATGCCCTGTTTCCAAAGGATTCCTACCTTCACCAGACTCTGCCTTCATTGTTCGGGCCTGTTACCGATTTGCAGAAGTCATAGACACTGATTAGCACCCTCAGGCACCGTAATTTCAATATATGAGAATCCTTTCCTCGGCCCCCTTGGGGGCATGACGGGAAATGAACAACCACTTTTGAACGTCATCAGGCGTAATCTTCTGAACGTCTTCATGCAGCTATCCGAAGTCAACGACGGGCGCAGGAAGACCAATCCTATCAATACGCTTGATATCAGACCAAGCCTCGGCTCCAATCAATCAAGTGACATAACAATAGCAGATTCCCCTAGTTTGCTGTTCTACTACCTCTTTGACGATTGGTATACGAGCTATGCCTTGGTAGCCAAGAGTGAGCACCAATACGCAATGGAACTCGAAAAGCTTGTACGTCCTTGCCAGTCCCTAGAGTACTGGCCGGTACTAATTAAACGGGAAGCGCGAAAATATGTTCACCAAGCCTCAAGTTCCTCTAATTCAGAGATTACACCAATACGGGCGGGAACTTGCCGTCTTAAAGCGTATGTATCAGAGCTATGCGCTCATCATTGAACGCATATTAGACAGACAAAAGCCCTTACACTCAAGCACCGGAGACCCATCGAGTGTGAGGGACAACCATGGCGAGGCTTTGATATCAGAAGGGCAAGTCACATCCAAGATCCAAACTTTCGGTGCTCCTCTGTCTTCGGCCGCCACTGTGCGCTTCGAACGTCTGCGCGATAGAATCAACCTCTACGCCCTCAGCGAAATACAAGAATGCCTTGACGAAAAGGACTCTCTGGTCTTTCTGGTACATTGGTCCCCTCTTCCGCTTAAGGCTACTATTCCTGAGTTATGCTAACGATCGAACCCTCAGAACTTCAATCTGATAACGCTCAAAGAATCTCAAGCGGTCGAGCGCCTTACACGCATCACCATTCTCCTTGCCAAAGTCACTATTCTCTTCATGCCTGTTTCACTCATGACCGCTTACTTCTCGACGCAACTGAGCGATCTCGCCAATCTCTACACCATTAAGACTTACTGGATATGCTTCGTGGTAATTATGTCATTGAGTTTTGTGGGTCTGGCGTTGTTTGGTGTAGCAAGTGGGACGTTGGAGGGGAAGCCGATCTATCGCAGCTTCACGCAGACTATGGTAGATGCAGGGAGAGGCAAGTGGAAAGCGAGAAGAGAGAGGAAAGATCGCTAAATGGGCGTGTATCATATCGGAGCTCGGAGTATCATTATTAGTATCCACTTGTAATATGAGGATGTCTCAGCCTATGCATTTGCCTAATCTTCAACGTGGGAGGGTAATGAGATTGCACTCGTGATGGTTAAATTCGAAGAGCTTTTATTAGACCAGCACCACCAGGGTGAACTGTGCACTCTTGTCGAAGGTCTTCGCAAAATGAAGCAATTGATGATGTTGTTATTCCCCCAACAAGTCGAGACTGCATGAAATCTCATTGGGGGCAAAGGAGTGGAGCGGTCCCTCGCAGACGTGGTTGCTACAATAAATTACATCACTTGGGTACCTGGAGTACTCCGTATCCTTGCCGCACTAAGTTCGCATTCGCAAAGCTCATTACCTCTATTAGGATAGCCCAATAATGTCATGATGTCAGTGTAATTAAATCACCTGGGATCGAGGGCTGCCAGACGCCGCTGGTTGCTGTTGGAATAATCATTGCGCACATCTCTTCGCCGTTCGAACCAGCTTATCATTCTTCCACGGGGAAAGAGGAAGATCATTGATCTGATCATTTGCATGGCCCAGAGAATGGTGTTGCAGCAGTCGTATTCGCGATCTCGGAGGTGATCCCGTTGCTAAGGGTGAGATATCCGTAAAGTGTGGGTTAGTGTACATGTACTTACTAGTGCTTACAGCAGTTAGCGCTAGATCCTAGCCTCCCTTTTAGTGGTGGTGCTCCGGGGAAGAAGATCGACCTTTCTTCTCCTAACCGAGGATACTAAGGTAGATATGTCTTCCTGCTTACATGTACGGATACACCGTTTCATGCGTTCGAGACAGCTATTGACTTGACCAGCTGCAACGGGTCTTTTTGTGTTGTCTCGCCAATAATTTTGAAGCAGCCATGATTGAATCATGACCTTGGTGACTTTAGTCTAATACTTTCTCCTGAAATCCGCGTACCAGACTGACGTTAAGATCTGTTGAGTGAAACGCGGCAAAGCGCGCTACCTCCTTAGTGTGCATAGCTGGTTCATAAAGTAGCAATTTGGATCTTAGGATGGCAAATTGTGCCGCCTGTAAATAACAATTGCCTCTATTATTCTTCCTCTCCTTTGCAACACTGCTCTTCAATCACTGTTCATCAATCACTGTTTATCAACGACTGCTCTTTCCCCCATCAATATCCGTTCATCATCCACTGCTCCTTTCCCACTTGCATATCTTGTTTAGACTCTCGCTAGTAAGTGCTTGTGGCCCGCCGCCATCACTACTTCTTCACCCCAACATCTCCACCCTCGCCCATTGTACACATTCTATTAGAAACCACCGACCCCCTCTTCTACACGTTGCATCCTCTGACACACAATTCACAGTCAGCATATTAGCATCTTCGACTCACCACAAGTAATCAGACATGCACTCCGCTATTGCCCTTGCTGCCCTCTCGGGCCTCGCTCTCGTCAATGCCCAAGTTCCAGGGGCGACTACCATTGAAGGTTCACCCACATACGATGGACTCCCTGTTCCCGGCACAACAGGTAAACTTGGAAACGCTGCCATCACCCAACACAACCCACAGTGCGTGACCTACAACGCCACCCTTCCCAGCACCGGCAGCATTCAAGGCTACGTTGCGGCGACGGCTAATGCAAATGGTACCGGGTACGTACTTCTCGGAGCTGATACTTCCTGTATGGTATTGAAATCGAGTCGCAAGACATGCTTTGGGAGCGAGAGGACCTTTCTACTCCCGAGATTTGTCTTGGGACTCCATTACCTATCTCAACCAAGCAATGCTAACTCGGGAATCTGCGTAGTGTATTCTTCAACGTCTTTCTTACTGGCCTCCCCAGCGAGTCTCTTGGCCCGTTCTGTAGGTTACTGCCATGATGCCTACACTCGTGTCATCAGTTGTCTGATTTAGCTGCGCAGTGTACCATATTCACGATCAGCCAGTGCCGGCCGATGGTAATTGCACCGCAACGGAGGCTCATCTTGATCCTTACATCCGTGGCGAGATCCCTCCGTGTGACAACACCCAACCGGAAACCTGCCAGGTTGGAGATCTCACCGGCAAGCACGGCAACGTCACCATAAGCCCATTCGCGGCTCAGTAAGTGCTCCTGGTCCCAAGGTGTTTGTCTACTATCGGTACGCTGACGAGCTTTTCCTTAGATACTCTGACCTTTACGTTTCGACCCAGGCCGGTCTTGGAAGCTTCCTTGGCAACCGCTCCATCAACATTCACAGCGCCAACACTACCCGCCTTGCCTGCGCCAACTTTGAGCTTGTCAGCAGCTCTTGCAACAGCTCCACCTCAGGCTCCAACTCGACTACATCGACCACTGCCCCGAAGCCATTCCTTGGTAGTGCCAGCACCACATTTGTCAGCATCGGTGCCGTTGCTGCTGGTCTCGTCGCGTTCTTGTTGTAAGCCTGGCTAACTCGGCACCCAAGCCGGCACTGCGGGCCAATGAGCTAATCTGCCTACATCCCTTTTCTGCGTGGCACCTGATTGTCAGTATTGTACTCTAGTAAAAGCGAGCATGAGCTCCAGACATGGTCATGACGAGCATGACGGTAATGGCACGGGTTGGAGAAAGAATGAATTGAAGAATTGCATTGTATAGTTCTTATCTTTGACTGCATGTCACCATGTCAACTTTGACGGTATAATTGAAAGGAAACTTGTAGATATGTTGGTAGTTAAAAAGACAGAAAACTTAATAAACTTTTCACGGTTGCCTGGATCGTTCTTGACACATCTTTAGAAAGAGAAGGCGAATATATAAGAAGGAAAGATAGGCCAGGGACGACTCACATCTTGAATAATCTTAGTTGCCTACTCTGATCTCAGTCTTCTATCTCCAATTCCTGTGAGTGTACTGCGAACTGGCTGCTTTGACCATTCACGTGACGAGGGATCGACCTAGCTGCCGGGGTAAAACCCAAAAACTTTCACTGGTGGCCTCAGCGACGATACATATCCACCAACCCCATCCGACATCTTGACCACACACCACACACTGAGGATACCTTATACAGTAAGACATTCCACAATTTTATCCGCCATCTCTCTCCTCAGTGGCCCAGCTACATCAACATCTGCTGGCAATCAAAGCTGGGCAAGCTCTACTTTTGTGCGCCTGGCTTGCTGACGTCCAACGCTCCCTCATTCTCAGCTCTTCCGTTGCCCCATCTTTGTTCTAAGCCCGCCCCTCTTTATTAATGCTTCTCTTGGCAGGTCCATTCGTGTAACATCGACACCCTCTCGCGGAAGACCCTTTCCACAACCTCCCAAATCCTACACACACCCGCCAACATGGGTCTCACGTTTTCGAAGCTGTTCGATAAGCTCTGGGGAAAGAAGGAGATGCGAATCTTGATGGTCGGACTCGACGCTGCCGGAAAGACGACGATCCTGTACAAGCTGAAACTAGGTGAAATCGTTACCACCATCCCCACAATCGGTTAGTGAGGCTCCAATGCCGGCCAGCTCCTAGCGACACCAGCCAAGCTGACCCTCCCTTCCTTAGGCTTCAACGTTGAAACCGTCGAGTACAAAAACATCCAGTTCACTGTGTGGGATGTGGGAGGACAGGACAAGATTCGACCCCTGTGGAGGCATTACTTCCAGAATACTCAAGGTATCATCTTCGTCGTTGATAGCAACGATCGCGATCGTGTCGTGGAAGCCCGTGAAGAGTTGCAGCGTATGTTGAACGAGGATGAGTTGAGGGATGCTTTGCTTCTGGTCTTCGCAAACAAGCAGGATTTGCCGGCATGTTTAAAGGATTCGGCCGACTCTCAGGTCTTGTTGCTAATATAAATGCAGAACGCCATGAACGCTGCTGAAATTACCGACAAGCTTGGTCTACACTCTTTGAGACAGCGCGCATGGGTAAGCCTTCGTGCTCCTTACGACTCTACGACATGTCTGCTAACACAATGCATAGTACATCCAATCGACTTGTGCTACTTCTGGCGATGGTCTCTACGAAGGACTGGAATGGTTGAGCAACTCACTCCGAAAGGCTGGGCACAACTAGGACGAGCATCCCGGGTCCTCCCATCTACACAGCACGCCCATCCTTCTTGTCGTCCGCCTCTCATGGGTGTCTTATGGTCTCCAAACATCGTCAATTGAAGCGCTGCAGGTACCGTCTAGCATAGAGCATGGGTGGTAGTGCGTGAATGCTATAGTGCCCCTGATAGTCTAGCTTCTTTTCCTTACCTGCTCGTGCTGGCCTCTTTCTCAAAATTATGTGGAATGATGGGTGTTTCGTGCAACGGTAGATTTGTACTCGGGGAGATTGTGGATTCGAAAACATGACATTAACCTCATGATTCAAGTGCAGCTGCCTATGAAAGGATAGTGAACGTAGAGTAGTAAGAACGCTGCAGCCTCGAACTGGGGTTAATTGTGAAGAAGCAGAGCAATTTCTTGAAATAGGGGAATGAGAGACCAAGCAGATGACTACTTTAAAATCATCAAAACGCGCATCATGGTTTGCGGCTATGACTTCTTCGTCCGCTTTTGATGGTGTCAAGCATTGCTTCTACATAACACGTTATTAATATGGAAACGACTTTAGAGATCAGGCAACCGCAAACACAACAAGCAAGCGACACATTTCTTGGGGCTCTCCGGCGAACGACTCAGATAATCCGTTCCATATCCTCAAGAATGTTTTGTGTTACACTTTCTCACCCTCTAGATAAAAGAAGTAGACTGCGACATGTTCACGCTCAATATCTTCGTACTCATTAACCCGTCTTTCGACTTCTCTTACTCGCTCGAAATTGTATAAGTGGATAAGCTCAGCTACAATTATGCCTACTACACGTGTTACACTTGCTTCGAATTCCAACCAGTCGCAAAAGACTCCTCTTCTCAATTCCTGATTCTGCGTCTCTTGATCCGAATGCTTCCCCCTCCTGCTACTCTCTTGTCATCAAGACTGCCCAATCAAAGCTAAGATTGAGAAAGGCCCAAAGGGTTTTCGTCCATGGAGGTCAGGAGCTGACCAGGCAGAAAGACTGGGAGCATTTACTGGAAGATGATGTTGTTCTACTTGTGTCTGTCGGGGAAGATCACGTAGGCTGGGGTTAGGAGGATGACCACTTGAACGGTGGGAAAGAAGGCAGTGTGCTCACACAGCCGCGAACCCAAAATGCTCGATTGGGATTCTTGCCGGAGATGCTTCCGTCGATTCGCTATCGATCACTCAGCTTGAGACTACAGCGCGGACCCTGCCCGGTATGGTTCATGCAACGGCCCAGCCAGACCTTCACCCTGGCACCATGTATCCCATCCGGGCAGTTTTTGTATCCCAGGAATGGATATAACCCCCTCTCATTGGCGGTGATATTGGATGCGGAATGGCTTGGTTCAAAACTCGGTTGTCCAGGTCCCAGGTGGAAGGAGACAAAGGCAGAAAGATTGCCGAGAACCTACGAGGTCTTGAGGGTGTTTGGCGTACCCAGAAAGCCAGAGAGACCTGGCTCGGGCACGCCGAGGTGACGGCCAGTTACAGCGCTGGTGAAGAATGGGATGCTGCACTTGGTACCATTGGGGCCGGAAACCATTTCGCTGAGCTTCAGGTTGTTGAAGATTCAGTTATGCGCAAACCTACGAGCGCGACAGAAGCCTCTCAACATGAACTGTATGAGGGTGAGATTATCCTTCTAGTCCACTCTGGCTCGCGAGGCTACGGATCGGATATCCTCAAGCAGTATACTAAAGACGGCCGTGAAAGCATACAAGAAGTTGACACCACGGCTAAAACTTACCTCGAAGCACACGACCGTGCTTGCAATTGGGCGCGAAGGAATCGATAGCTGATAGCACTCCGCTTCCTTGCCCGCTTGAAACCAGGAGAAACGGGCTGGGACCTAGGCACGAACGATTTAAGTCCGACACTCACACCTCAGCCAGTGATATCCGCGCAGCCAGGTTAGCCGTCCAAGCCAGGAAGGTTGTCGACATATACCACAACAACGTACAAGTCACAACAACATGGCCTCCCTCCCTCAAGCCAGATGAGAACAATGGTGAATTCTCATCCAGATTGGCAGACTTACGGATCGAGGCGCCCCAGAAATACTACATACACCGCAAAGGCGCCGCACCCACCCACGATCCCCTAACAAACATTCCTCTCGTACGTATTTTCGGAGTCCCCAGTTTCTTATTTAGACAAAATCCTAAGTCTTGAGACATGTATCATGTTGGGAGTTTCTACTCTCGAAATATGTTTCAAGGCTTAAAAATGCCCTCTCCGATAAGCAATACTGACATCGAAATTGTAATAAAAACAATCCTCCCTCTACCAGGATCTCGCGCCACCCCAACACTCATCCTTCATCCCACCTTCTCAGCCACCAACGCCCACGGCAAAACTAATGCCCTAAGTCTCGCCCACGGAGCCGGACGGGCCCTCTCTCGTGCCAAAGCAGCCTCCTACATTGCGGAAAAGTATGCTGGCAAGACGGAGGACCTCCTCAGGGGTGACTTTGTCAAGGCAGACAAACGCGGCAACAAGCTCTTCGGAGGAGATAATGCTGGAGGGAGGAATGTCCATGGAGGCTGCTGGGTTGTGTGTGAGGAGAAGCAGCTTGTTTGGGAGGAAGCCCCTGAAGCGTATAAGGACGTTTGGGATGTGGGAGAGGATCTGTTGAAGAAGGGATGCGCGGAGAGGTGGGGATGGTGTAGGGGGAGAGTGAGCTACAAGGTCAGGAAGGAGTAGTGGAAAGACTGATTGGAGGCTGCATTCATGAGATGGATGATGGGAATGGTTTTGAATGAAGGTGACTCGTTGAAAGCGCGTGAAGAGCCTTTGTTTGTAGGGGCGTATGGCTATCAGGCCGTATTATATCTAGACGGTCAGCCATTGAAACGATGTTGAAGCAGTCAATCGATGTCATTCTGGATAAAGCTATGCTCAGAATGGGTGAGAAGACATGTAAGATGTGCGAAGAAATGGCCAGAGGGGAGTATGCTTTCTTATGTTACCATGTGGCATGGCTTGAAATACCAAAAAAGCACGCTATTGCTGAGAAACAAAGAGGGGTATATCCGCCTATAAACAAGAAGTAAGTTCAATCTGATGCGAAGTGAAAGCATCTTTCTGGTATCTTTGAAGCCCGCATCGCAATGCAGGATTCACCAATCCTTCAACAAATGAAATGTTTATCAAGTTCTTTCACATCCCTCCAACAGTGCCTCCTAGATTTGGACCAAATGGCTCTTCATCCCCAGCGACCATCTTGTTCTCAACTGCTACGTCGCCAAACGGATTGCCTTCACTCGCGTCCAAATCGTAGCTGCCCTTGCGCATCAGCGGCGGCGTCATAGGATTCTGCTGCGACTGACGCCTTAGTGGTCTGTCTGGCTCTTCTTGACGTGGCAAGCTCTGCTTCGGTGTCGTAGGTGCTCTGACTGACCGTTTCGACGGGGAGGGATATACTCTCGAGTCACCGAATGAAGGAGTTGTCCGCATCTCCGTGCTCGGCGACGTCATCAGGCCAGCAAAAAAGCTCTGAGGAGAAGATTTTGACAGAGTCTGACTTGCGGGAAGAGTACTGAAGGCCGAATCCCGCCCCTTGCGCCAATTTCCCCAGGCGGCCGCAGCAGCTAGCGGGAGTGCTTTGGGTGATGCTGCAATGGTGGAGATGCGGGCAAGGGATGGGAAGGAGGCCAGTGCGCGCTCCTTCTCCTGTTGTTCCATCTGTAAGTTCGCTTTTAGGCGAGTAGCCGCGTCTTTGACAGATTCAGGATTGTAGGATGGTTGGGAGACGGTAGCGATCAGATCATCGAGATCTTCGATACGAATCCCAAGAAGTTCACGCAACCAAGTGATCTCGATTTGGGCATCTCTTAATTTCTCTGGGGCATTACTATCAACGGAGGACAACTGATATTCGAGCTGCTCGATCCGGTTTTCGCGTTCTTGTAGCTGTTCTTGTAGGACAAGGATGGATTCGCGTAGAGCCTGAGGCGAGGTTTTCTCGGGTAGGGGCTCCCGCTCGGAGGCCTTGGCAATGGGTAGAGACGTGCGAGATGAGGACGGACCTAAAACTGCTTTCTTCGATTGAGCGGCTTGCACTGCTGCATGGGCAGCAGACTTGGCAATTTGCAGCTTCTCTTCGAGATGACTGACTCTGTCCTGGTAGTGGACCACTTTTGCGTCTGCTAAACTCAGTTGATTTCCGAAATAAGTCTCTGATCGTTGTTTGTCTTCGAGGGCGTTGTTCAGTATACGCTCATGCTGCGCTTTCATTTCTTTGACGCTTCTTTCATAAAAGTGGGCAGCTTCTCCAAGAGCCTTGCTCCGTGAGTCAGTTGCTTCCTTGAGCATCTGCTCGTAACGGGATCTGGACCTATCTGCATCCGTTGTGACGAGGTCAATCTGTGGACGGAGTCTGGTGATAACACTCTGATAATGGTGGCATTCGGACCTAAGCTCGGCCAACAGGCTTTGCAGATGGGCATTGGCCTTTTGCGTTTGCTCAACCATGGATCGGGTCTTGATAACCTCTGACTCTTGCGCCTCGATTCTCTCAATATCAAGTTCAAGCCTTTCCCTTGTTCGAGCTTCAGTTTCAAGCCTTGCATGCAATATCTCCAGCCTAGCCTGGTGCTCTTCCTCCTTGCTACGCCACCTCAAATGATCCGACGCAACGTTGCGAGAATTTGTGGCAATTTCTCCTTGCAAGTGATCAACTTTGGCCCGTAGTGCCCGGCGACCTTGCCCATTTTCTTCGATCTCAGCATTCAAAGAACTGATGGTTCTCCTGAGGTCTTTATTCTCATGCTTCGCATCGCTAATTTCCGACCTCCACTGGTCGCTCGACAAGCGGTATTCAGACAATGTCTCCTCCAGGACTAAATTCTTTTCGGACAGATCCGAAGCGGTCTTCTGCAGACTTTCCTGTGAACCCTCCAGCATGGCGGTACGCTGGAGAGTCTGTTGCCGATTCGCATGAAAATCTCGAAGGCTTCGCTCCGTTGCTTCTGCTGATTCACGTTGTTCGGAAGCTTCTTGAAGTGCTATCCGGAGGAGTCTTGCCTTGTCAGCTAGCTCGTCCTCAACAGATCTGCGAGCTTGCATTTCGTCATTCGCACGAGTGTCCGCTATTTTGAGCATGCTCTCGAGGCCTGCTATCTGAAGTTGGCTTTTTTCAGCTGCCGCCGCTTGTGAGCTGGACGTGACTGGTGCTGATCTGCCGCGCATCTGTCTACCGACAGCTTCCTCCACAATGTTCTTGATTTCGCCCGATAACGGTGGAGGAGATATGTCCTCATGTATGGACGCTTTCAAACCATTGACAGCGGCCATCATTTCTGCCAGCTGACTGGCTGGTGCCAGGCTCTGCTGAGCAGCTGTGATCTCGGTAAGGGAAGCCTTGAGCTGCTCGAACTTTCGATCTCTTAGAGGTGACTTGAGCCTTGACTGTGACACTTCACCAACATCATCTTCATCATCCGCGTCACTATGCTCAATCTCGAGACCGCCTGAGCTGCGTGGTCTCCTACTCGCTGACCTACCAGACAGTTGGGCCAATGACTGTTGGATGCCGGACAATGCCTGCTCTAAAGGTTTCAGTTCCCTCTGGACAATGGTTTCCATTACCTCGGTGACAGAATTATTCATGGTAGTCTTTGAGGGGAAGTTGTCCTCATTCAGAGAGGATATCGCATCGTCCAAATCACTAGGAGGCGTACTACCAGGGCTGTGCAATGGATGTATTGGAGGCGAAGTCTTTGATGGTCTGTAAGAAGGGCTGTATCGAGCAGAGCGAGCTACCATTTCAACAAGAGAAGGATTAGCACTTTCTGAATCCGTTGGCGGTAGGTATTGATAATTTCCTTGCAACCTGTTTGGACTCGGCGAAGGAGCATCACTTCTAATGTTGGCGGGAGGTAGCAGCTGATGCGGTGTTAACGAGTCATGGAGCTTCGGGCCAGTGTATCGTATCGGGCTTGCGCTTGGACTTCGACCTCTCAATGGACTAGGCTGTCGCTCAACGCCCAGGTCCGAATCCTCTCTATTGAGGTGCTTCATAACGGCATCAAGCTCATTATATGACGGCTCGACATATCTCACGCCGTTCATGATAATTGCATGCGTGCCTCGGCCAGCATGGTCTATACGATCAACTGAGTCTTCAGCTCCCCCCTGAGGCTTACGCTCATATCTTTTCCCTCCATCTTTGGTTGAGGAACAGGAAGAAGATCTTGAGCTAGAGGTACGATGTCCTAAAACCCGATTGAATTCAGTCCCGAATTGTGCAGATTCACCAAGGAAATCCCGCGTTGCTCTAGCGACCTACACAGAATTTGGAGTTAGCATCTTTTCTTCAAGGCAAAGCCCTGAACAATGTAACGATGCAAAGGGGTGTAGAAGCCCTTTGCTCCCGGAACACATCTTGCGACTCAAGTAGCGGTCCGGCGCAGGGGATTTAAGTTTCCAGCTTTACATACCTCGTGAGGATCCGGTGGACGTGCCGCGTTGAAGCTCGCTGCTTCCCCAAGGTCATTGAAAATATAATCTTCTCTCCTTTCCCCATCCTCATCGACAGATTCTTCTCGCATTAGATCTGAAGCCTCGGTCGCGGATAATTCGTCGATGAGTCCTTCGAGTAAATCTGTAGCTGCATCCAGGGTAGTGGCATCTACTGCTTTGCTTTCTGGTGACGGCGTCCTACTAAAACAGGCGGCTCGATCCTCACTGCCCCGATCCATCCAATGGTTTTTTCCTTCTGACAATGCAAAAAGAGTTACTTGATCACCGTCGTCACGCTCACGCCTGGAAGATTTCAGAGTCAGCATGCCCTTCCCAAGACATGACTAGGGAGTGCAACGGGAGGGGAAAGCCTTTGAAACAGAGAGTCAAGTTGTGAGACATATTAAATAGCAGATAGTGCGGGCGTGTGGTAGAAGCTGTGTAGTCGAAGCTCATTTCTTTCACACAAAGTCGAATCGTAAGACAGGTTTGGGTAGCACAGCGAGACTAAGCCCCTTTCCCGCCCTCGAAACACGTTTTGTAACTCAGACTGAAGCCCCGAATATGGAGGGAAATCTCCGCATCAACGTACCTCATTCTCTTCTGTCGACCATCAGCTTGAGTTATACGGCCCGATTCGTCTTCTTGACCATCCATATCTCCATCATATTTCTTCTGCCTCTCTGAATCTTTGTTAGGTTTAGTGATTGGTATAGCCTTCGACTTTGGGGGTCTGATGACCTCAGAAAAGTTGATGTCGCCAAAAATTTTCTTCACGGGCTGGACGGCATTCTGTCCGCTGGCCGGTTTAGGACCAAATGTACTTCCGCCATCACTGGGTGAAAAAGCCGGAGCGTCAGGCCTGAATGAAGGGCGCGAAGCCGAAAAGCTGAACTCTCTGGAAGGAAGGGTTGCCATTACTGAAGAGTTTGGCATGAACGTAGGCGCTGCGACATTCCATTTGCTAGGGAGGGAGGCTCCACTGGGAGCTTGCATTGCCCCGTCAGAGCTAGGAAAGCTCAGAGATTGGGTCTCGATTAACGCGCGAGCTTGCTTATCACCCAAATATGAGAGAGTTCCAGAACTTTTCGAAACTCCGGGTTCAAACTTGGGCGCATTGACGTTGAATTGAGAAACTTTAGATGGATATCTGCTTTGAGACTGTCCAGGGTCATTGGTCTCATGGTCTGGAATCCCTCTAACACTCAGACTTGCATCCAAGACAGACCCGTTTGCTCTCGCATTATGCCTAGCCGCTCTCCCAGCGTTGTTTGGGATATCTTTAGCCTGGTATTCATTGTACCCTTCATCAATCTGGGCAGCCTTGGAACCCACTTGCCCTTCATTCTCATCCTTGGAGTACGACACATGAGCATCAGCTTCGTCGACTCCTTTCTGCAGATTCTCACTTGGGTTCTGGCGATGACCACGTGGGATCGGAGTTGCGATATCAGCTTGATCGTAATGAGCCACTGGCTGCAAGACCCGCTCCCCATTTTGACATGTGCCCAAAGAAGGTAATGAGCGTTGCTGCAACAGCTGCTGTTGATAATGCTGCTGCTGCTGCTGCTGCTGCAATTGCTGTATCTGAAGCAGGGCTTGCTGCTCCCGCATTCTAGCTAGCAAATCAGCTGAGGCTTGGTTCGAGACCTGGCCGACGTTGCCGATCCCTACAGGTGATGCTGATGGCGCTGCGTGCCCAAATGTCTGCACGTATCCGTTGACGCCGGGAGAAGCGACCCGCGACCCCTGTTGCGACGTGAAGTACGTCCAAGGTGACGACGTTGCAGGTATGTGAGGCTCGGAAGGCTGCGGAAATTGGTTCGATGACATGAGAGACGATTCATTAGTCGGATGAGCTATGGAGTATCTTGGGAAATGAGAGACCCCGGGCTTGCCCATGTAGGAGGTAGGGTTTGCAGCACCATAGAATGAAGCAGGAAATGGACCCACGTGCGTTGGTGAAGCCAATGCAGGGGATGACAGCACACGGGAGCTTTGTGAGGACCCTTGCCGGCTCATCATCGATAGCGCTGGCGAGTTCCTTGGAGTTTGCTCGTCAACGCCCAACGCTCGCAGCTTTTCCTCTTTCAGGTGATTAACATAGGTCTCCTGTAAAGGTTTTGGAGTTAGTGTTCCTTTCGGCAACATCCCAAGCAATGAGATTACGCGAAGGGGTATCGAGATAGTTTTTCCTCCCGAACCATGTCCTGCAAGCAAAATTGGTTTGAAATGGGGAAATATGGATCTGGAAATATACATACCCAATGTCGCCGGTCCGGAATATTGACATGATATGTACCATCAGCTCGTTCACGCTTCTCATCTTCTGGGTCGGGATGCACAGCTCGGCTCTGTCCTTCCAAACGTGGAGAGTGTGAACTGGAGGTTTGTGGGACAAGCGTAAAACCGTTGGTATCGAATCCATGGTTTTTCCAGTCTTCGAGACGCCTTTCGAAATCGGTTGGGCTGAGGTAGCTTTCTCTACTAGTCTTTCTGCCAAATTCATCTTCAAGAGGCAGCGCAATGAAGCATGCCTTGTTCCGCCAAATCACACGCTTCCGAGGCCGCTGGCATGAAGGCACACTAGCCAGAGAAGGCCTTGTGACATGCGACTGGCCTTCTGCTGCGTTCGTTGCCATACCTGAAACGGGGGCCTCGGATCCTTTGCGATCACAGGGAGGCGGTGCCCGAGATGTAGGCTGTTGAGCAGGTTGTAATTTCCCAATAGGTTGTCGTGAGGGGATGTTGGGATCCATGGTATCCAGAGGACCTAGTGAATTCATACTGTTCCAATAGTTGCTACGTATTTCTTACTGGTGTACGGAGTACACTACACCAGGGGACACTGATTAGCTCAAGCCTCTTGAGGTCCGGACATATTGTAGTAGATATATACCGTCTTCCCCTCCACCTTTGGCCATGCACTAAAGGCAGTTGACGAGGACTGTCGTATCGCCGAGCTCATCAGGAAAGGTGCGGAAGGCCCAGCGCACCAGGTGTTTCTAGCGATGCGTAGGGTCCTTGGGCAATAGTAGAACTTTCAGGGAATGTACCATGATCGATGAAGTATCAATGAAGCGTAAGCATAAGCATCTCGAAAGCATGCCGTGGCTGTATGCTGAGCCAGCAATCCTGGCAACAGAATAATGTTTCTTATAAGTCGCGTCAATGCTCATAAAAATGCCAAGACCTCCGAAAAGTGTAATTGCGCAACTGGTGCTACGAAGTTCTACAACCATTGGATTTCTGGCTTTACATTTCGACACCTTTACCGCCTAGTCATATTGAACCTTAGTAGTCTCACTCGTCGACTTGCATTTCAATAAGCAAGGCATGTACAAATCTGTTGCAGAAACAGGTCCATCGGGCACGTGATGATGCTGGTAGGGAAACATTCTCTATTACAGTAACTATTCGTTAACCTCCTTTTCCAACGTGAACGACAGCTGAACACTGGTCGTTCCCTCACGCGTGTTGGTCGGCAAGGTCGGCCGCAGGACGCCGAGACTGAATGAATTGAAGGAAAGGACATATGAAGATACCCAGCCCAATGCAACAAACCCTTCCAAAGCCATCCATGGACGCAGTCCACATTGATCCTGTGACTTCGCTGCAAGTCATCTAGCATAGGATGTTCGGGTTGGTCTCCATTGTATCAAAAGTGCAGGAGTAGTCATTGTTAGGAAACTTGGGCGTTCGATCCGAGTTGAAAAGTCCCCATCCAGTTTCAGGTTCAGTCTGATTGCTCAAACCGGTACTGGCTGGTTTCCACGGTTCGTCGAAGGCCTCGAAATAGAAGACGTTTTTATTCCAGCCAAGCAGAGCGCATACACCTTGCTTGAAGAAGGTGTAAGCTTCGTTGATGCCGTCTACAGCAGCTCCGTAGCTGGCTCCGGCTAGCAGGAAAGTTAGCAACACGTTGAATGACTCGAGGGTTATCTATCATACGAGTTGTTGGCCATCCAGTCTCGCCATTCCAGATTTCTATGGGGCGGCCAGCTACCGTACTGATGTGTGTGTATGCCTGCGTCAGGTCGTCGAAGTAGGTCAGACTTGCGTTGCAGATGGACACGTCCTGCCAATACCCGAACGCGTTCACGAGCCTTCAAATAAGTCAGACAGGAACTTGATTATGGAAATTGCAGGTCAACTTACAAAATTGAGACATTCGTGTTTTGGACGACAACATCGGCAGTTCCATCATTGTATACATTCCAACTATCGGCTGTGCCAACTGGGAATTTGAGGTCTAAGTCGAGCATGGCCTGAGTGTAATCATTGATCGCGGTGTTGAGCTCGTCATTACTGAGACCAGTGGTATGGCCGTCTGTTTCGTGGTAGTATCGATAAAGGCTCTCAGATCCCACGGTGACAGCATAGACGGTTGATTCATACTGTTTGGCGTATGTGTGGAATTCCTTGATGTCAGCATCGAGCGCCTCAGCCCTGTGATTGTGTGTTAGCGCCGGTTATGGGGGACAAATCAAGTCAGGAAAGGTAGAACTCTGCTTATAGTATCATACCATAGGCCGACGACGACTTGGAAACCTTTTGCTTGAGCGGCAGGAAGTATGACAGCAGACACATTACAAGGCGTATCTTGGATCGCTCCATCGACCTGGGAATATGTCCTGACAATGGGGAGTTTCTCAGTGTGTGGATCAAGCTGTTTCAGAGGTGTGCTAGATGGGTTCGGCGATAGTTTGCTGAGAACGTCAAAATCGTCTTCATAGTCTTGCTGAGTTTTACACGTCCCATCTTGACAGCGGATTAGCTTAAGAAATCTCTATCTGGACATAAGGGCAGATCTTACCGGAGTGTCTGGCACCCAGCGCATAACCAAGGGTTCCGGCTGCAGAGACTGCGAGAGGTACGGTGGCAGCCGCAACAGCAATGAGCGAGACACGCATGTTGTTGAGGTGCTGTGATGAAGTTTAACGTAGTGACCGTCTAAGAGAGTGTTCTAGGTATTAATGATACAATATGGATAAAGGAGTGTAATGCAGACGATGCGAAGTGATGGGAGAGAGGGTGGTGCGAAGAAAGACAAGACAAAGAGGAAATTGAGAAGATTCGCGTTTGGAAGCTAGCGTCAGGGGTTCGACTTCGTACTTCGTACCTATGGAGGCTAAGGTAGGTACCTTACCTAAGGTAGTCAAGCAGCCACAACACGGAAGAACTAGCGTCAGGTACACAACCAATAAGATCCGAGAATAGCTTTTGCGTTTGTCAGAAAAGTAAAAACAGATTTGTAGGCTGTGTGGGTAAGGTATGTATCAGTACCTACTTTAGACGTGAACACAACTGCTCTTCAGGAGTGTTTTCAATAAACGGTGAGTATCAGTTTCAACGCTTGGTTTCCTCTCCAGAGTCCCCACGCAGCTGCTCAAAAGATTCTGCTTTGCATGTTGTATCCCAATGCCCAATCTAACACAAAGGTACCACATTACATCGTCAATCATACTACGAAACCTTGTTGCAGTGAGACCGTATTACATATAAAGCCTTGAGCCAATATCAATGTAATAGCATGCCTCCCAAGCCAAGCCATGCTTTCATTTCGTAACAAGACTGTACATACCAGGAAAGACCTGAGACGATGGAACATTTACAGCCGTCGCAATCCCACCCTTGACTTCCCTTTCCCACTGCTCGTACCTGAGGAGCTCGACGCTGAAGCTTTTCTTGAGGCAGGCTCTCCAACCTTAGTCGCTGCATTGGCTGAAGGTAAAGGCTTTTCGACTACCTTTCTAGGCCCCCAAGTCTCAAGCGTGTTCTCTTTGCCTAAGTCTAAGCAGATTCTCTTAGTAGGCCTTCCTTCGAAATCGACACTGCCCACGCCGTTGCCCCCCGATTCTTGGAGACCACGGCCAGTCATGTTCACGCTTTGACTCCGTTCAACTAATTGTAAGCCTTTCCGAGATTCATCTGACGCTGTGATGCCTGCTAACGGATTTACATGTTTTAAAACATTCTGGTTTGAGGAATTCGAACACGGTGTATCGGTCACGTCGTATTCTTGCTCGTCAATAAGGCGATCGACAAGTGGACGCTTGACCAATGATGGTCGTCGTGGGCTTCGTGCTAGATCATTCTCTTTCGAGGCAGTATTATCATCTTCATCCTCGCTGGCCGGATCCTCGCCCTCCAGTGCTTGATAAGGATTGCTTGGCGCCGATTGCGTACTGGTGATACGCTCGGGCAGCTTTCTCATTACCACACCTGTCAATGAGCTAGCAGTTTTTCCTTTCATTGTCGGCCTCTCTTCGGGGTCTTTCCCAATAGCTGTACCCGCTGTTTCCCCTCTCCTCTTGGCCGCCATTGCCCCATTCAAAAGATCAGGAGATATGCTCGCATGAATAGAAGTCATGAGTCTCGCTTGACGAGCAAATGAGTCGTAATCGTCCTGTAAAAGATGGCCTGCAGTGGCGTTGAGAGCTGAGTCTGGATTGGGCTGGATGAGGAGACAGTATATTGTCTGATTGATGCAAATCAGCTTTGAAGTCATCGAGCGAAAAGTGATTATGCACGTACGATCAACACATCCCGCAAAGTCAGTTCTGGCTGCCAGTCCTTTTTTAAAGTGTCTACGCAGACACTTCCGGTGTTCTCGTCGACGTTGGGGTGCCAGATTCGAGTCCGAAAAGTTGCCTTTGGAGGCGCTTTGGGATATGATTCTGGTATCTGCAAGGAAAGCCTCCAAAGTCCTTGTGAATAAGGTGTGCCAGTTGGCCCGGTGATGAGGACGTTGAGCTGTGTGAGATCGTCGAAGGATAAATCTGTGCTGGAGAAGGGGAAAAGATAGCAAGGCGGAAGCTCAGTGGAATGAAGAATGGCATGGTCGGCTGCAAGCCTGCGGAGCGTGAACGTGTTCTGCGGGGATGGGTTAGGACTGGGTGCATCGGATATGGCTAGAAGTGCCCACCATCACTCTTGGCGAGTCTTTCTATAAGAGGCGATATGTTCTGTAGGTGTAGGTGATCGTGAGTCGTGTATTCGTCTTTTGTTGAAAAAGCAGCCTGTATTATGTCTGAGAAATGAAAATCAAAGTCTGAAGACGGGTTGTAAGCGGTCGCAGTGCTGCGAAGCAATTGTTGACATGCCAACACGCTAATAGTTCAGGCCGACTCGCCGATATCGCGTCGCTATGGTATATTATTACTCAACTGGCTCTTGCGCACTTGCTAAATTGAACCATAGTAGGGATACTGTTTTGGCAAGTTCTGGATCCCGTAATATTGTCCACGATGTCCGAAGAGAAGCTGGCGGCAGCTCTCAGGCTTATCGACGAAGCTCACGCTCAAGACCCCAAGAAAATTGAAGTCAATGGCAAAGAGCAACCCTATGAACTCCACTACAGCCAAAAAATGAGCGAATATCTTGAAAAGCGCAACCCTTCTGCGCCAGATACGTTACGACTCGCAGTTCGCGCGCAGCATATCAGACGTTGGGAGATTCCGCGAGATTCGTATGCAAAGAACAAAGTTGGCTATCACGCCTGGCGAACCTACCTCAAGAAGAGGCAGGCGGATATAGCTTTTCAGATCTGCCTAGATTGTGGCTACTCACAAGATGACGCTGCGAGAGTGGCTTACCTTATCAGGAAGGAAGATCTGAAGAAAGATGAAGAGACGCAGACGCTGGAAGATGTGGCCTGTCTAGTGTTCATGGATGACCAATTCGAGGAGTTCGAAAAGCAGCATGACGAGGAGAAGACCGTAAAGATCCTGCAGAAGACATGGGGGAAAATGAGCGAAAAAGGCCATGAGCTTGCGATGGCTTTGCCGTTGAGCGAGAGGTGCAAGGATCTATTTAGCAGGGCCCTTGCTGGAGGTTGAGAGGCAGAAACCTGCTTGATCTTTCGAGAGGCTTGAAGAGCACTTGATCTACATGGGAGACCCTATTCGACATATTCGCTCATTAAAGCATGTCGATCACGTTTTCTCTACCGCCGCTGTTTTCGCATACTTCTCGTTGACCTTGTTAGTGTCGTCCCGAAACGCGCGCACATGCTCTGGCACATCTTCCACGCGACCATCTCCTCCAGCGACTGGCTCTCCCGCGGTCTCCCACATTGGGACGACGCCGGTCCACACCCTCTGCAGCAAATCCTCTCTCTCGGTATCTTTCTTTTCATCACCCGGGCCGCCCGTCCTGATCTTCCCGCTTCCGTTTACAATCTTTACCTTCAATATCGTCGTTGATGCCATTTCAGCTTTGTCAGGCGGCGTCCTTGTGTGATCCCTGCCAAAGGCTCTGGAGTCAGTATCCGCTCTTTAAGACAGAAGTTCGAGCCTGAAGGCAGGCCTGGGAAGTAAAACATTGATTTGGGCTCCCAAGACTTCTCTTGCAATCAAACATCCTGCGAAACATCAATTTCGATACGTACCAACGACCGGGCAACACAGAGTTGGTGACCAATTGCATCGCCCATAGCTTCTCTTCCGCATCCTAAATTTTCTCTGGAGTTATTATTGTTTCTTCAAGGTAAACAGCCAAGCAATGAGAGAGCTCAAACGGGCATCATAAGTCTTCTGTTCCCGAAACAGATTTTACAAGCCAAGCAGTGGTCAAAAATAGGGTAGAATTCGCGGTGACAGTATACATACCTCCACCAGGCTTCCGTACCCGAAAAGCACAGCAGATCGGTAGTTGTAACTGTGCGAATTAGGCGTCAAGCTAAGCACTATGCCATCCACTTTGGTTGCGGCTATGGTAATGGCAAGGCCGCTTTCTGGGTGTGCCCGCGCTTGCTTCATACAGCCAGAGCTCACATAGCCATGGAGATAACATTCCCTACACACGTTCTGGTCAGCACCGTTCTTTCAAGGCAAGGCAAGAACCAGAGTCACAAAACAGGGTTGAGGGGTATCAAGAGCCTCTTGCTCCCAAAACATGTCCTGTGGCTCAGACTCTGCCGCCAAGGAAGGAGTCGCTCCGTATAGTACGTACAGAGGATCATTCAAGTCAGCGCTTGGATACGCGAAGGATCCCATGGTACCGATCATTGGAAGAATGGTTGGGAAAGGATCCTCTGGATCTGAAGAGTTGAAAGAAATGAGGAGGACTGGAGTCTCATTGATGATTGAGTGGATGGTGTGCAGGTCGTAAGTAGCTAGAATTGATCAAAATATCAAAAGATGTCTATCGATATGGAATCCAATTCCAATTTTTGCAACAAGTAAAGTACCCTCTTACCACGATCATCCTTGCGGTGGACAGTGTTCTTCTGAACTCTCGGATAAACTAACGTTCGTCCCATAGCGATACTCAGTACTTGGGATTGGCCGATCAAAGGGGACGGAAACGACCGATTAGACTCCACCTCAATCAAAAAGCACCTTCTGTTTGATATACAACTCCACTGTAGCTAGCCCCCGAATGTGAACAGTAGTGACTCAACTGCTCAAGTTTTGGTAGATTGAAAAAGACTTTGTAGAAGATCGGCAGAAATAGCTTTTGGAAAGGCATGTGCTTCCGAACCGCATTGGGGGTATTTAGTTCGTATTAGGTTCGATTCCTAATGGCGCTGGTACAATGGTGTTGCGGTGCTTTTTATTTTCTGGCAGCGCCATTAGCCATAGGTTTTAAAGTTCTGTCGAACGGTGTTGGCAAGGGCTTTCACCCCTGCCGAGCTGTAAGCCCGGGCGAGAGCTCAGGTTCGAATCCCATGCGATGCATTGATTTGTGAAGCGAAATGTTTCCCGTTAGTCATAGTCCGAGGGCGGACACCTGTTGGTTGTGGTCGTGTTGTTGGGGGTATTTAGTTCGTTTTAGGTTCGATTCCTAATGGCGCTGCTACACAGATCACACATCAACCGTGAACGATGGACTGACGACTTCAGAGAACCAGATGACACTCCTTTGTATATTCTCGCCATCCCACTCACGAATCAGGCGTGCAGCAGGTCTTGCTTCGAGGGCACAGATGTCGTCTCTGTGCCGCTCTGTGGTCATTTTCATATGTCCAAACATGGGTTGCTTGACCGGCCAATTGGTTGATCAATCAGGTCTTTCTCTTCATAAGGTTGCCTTTTGGCGGTAAACTGACCACTGCGGTGCAGCCAGGTCTTCAATGGATTAGATGGCCTCGTTCTCTGTGTGCTTCATCAAGAGACTGAATGGAAAGGGGCAAAGTGCGGAACTTAGCCAAGTAATAAAGGCCTTTCCTGCTGAAGCTGCCATCGTCGCCTGGTGTTCAGCCACTGGAGTGTTCGTTGCTATGCCAGTTACCTATAGTCAACGGCTGAAGCATCTCAAGGTCGATATGCTTTCGCTATACCATCCTCGGGTTCCAGATTTGTATCCCAAAGACATAGACACTACAACGGACATACGTATTGCACAATTTGAGGAATCTTTATAAATATGCGTATCTGCGACAACACACAGCCTTACAGAATGTGGGGCATTTGCATTATCATCAATAACCCCAAGTCCTTCCACAATCGTGACCGACTATTAGCATTCAACATTTGCTTTTTGCTTGGCCGTGTCATTGCCATCTATATAGAGTCCAGTCTGTTTCCTTCTCGTTCCCGCAAGCTCCAACAAATCTCCAGTATCGTTGAGTAATCCCACTACGTTGCTTTCTGTGTGTAGTGGCCTCTATGCATTCGCTCCCGAGTACACACAACTTTGTTTGAACACTGCAGTACCTTCTGTTTCTTTGCCTTGGAAATAGCAATGACAACCACGTCTCGCAGAACGCCTGGTAAATGACACTCAGTTTCTCCTGTTTAGTCTCGCTGACCACCATCAAGGACTCGAATCCTCTCTCAAGAATCTTACCATTTCGTCTTCCGCCAAACCCAAGACCTCTAAAGCTGTTGCCGACACCTGGGAAGACGTTGCTTCTCCATCAACCTCCTCCAATTCCACTACTCCCTCACCGCCCTCTACTCCCACTGACGCAACCCCTGGTCCTCCGCCGCCGACGCCCATCTCTCCAACTTCCTCCCACTCACGCAAGAAAAGTACAGACTGGTCGACGTTTGCAAGTGCCTATACCTCAAAATCCTCAAGTAGTACGCCTCGGTCTTCTACGGGCCCAGAAAAGAGACCGGAGAAATCATCTGCGGCGGCCGGACGCTTGATTGCAGGGGCGCTAGGTGTAAAGCCACCGAAGAAGACTGAGGAAAGCAAAGCGTATGAGCGGGCTGTGAGGGAGAAGGAGCGGAAGAGAAAAGAGGTGGCCAAAGACGAGGTGGGGAAGGCTGAGAGGGAGAGGGAGGAGGCGAGGAGGGCGATCTGGGAGGGTTGATTGGTCTTGAGAGAAAATGATGGTGTGATGATCGAGGGAGGGATATACATATTCTGAGTACGCATATACTGTCAATGTACGGCCAGAATTCTGGGCATATACACAATTGGCTTTCGCGTTTAGCCAACACCAGGCGGGGCGTTAGTGGCACATTCTTCGAAGAAACATTCTCAATATGGTTGGTGCCATGAAAAGGCATCGAGAGAGTTCTCGTATGTAGACACAGCTCGTCACGTATGGTTGACCAAGCAACATAGAGTAACTGCAAAAGATGGCGCCTTTGGAGTGATCCTTTCCAGATCTTTTTCATTATGAACTAAACCCGTCTCCTTCATATTCCTTTAAGCAGACCTGCGCCCTGAGCGCCCGCTGCAAAATGTGCCCGTCGCTCGATTGATGTGGAAGACCTGCAGCTCAAATGAGATCACACGGCCTTGGACCCAGCATCGTACTGCCATCCGACCAGGTGCCACTGTCTCACTTGCCGTCTCAAGCTCCACCGATCTGTTCCTGGTGCACCTCCAACGTATCTCCATCGGCCATCTCGAGCTGCGGCGACGAACGATTAATAACTGACTTGTGGAAGAAGATATCTATGAAACATGGAGTGCTCTCCAAGGTGTTGAAGTACTCACGGATTCTGGGCTATCACTTGGGTTGACGCGCGCACCATCGAAGAGAAATCTAACAGAGGAGGGTGCTTTTCCTTGACGCTCGCAGAAGGCGTTCATGAGCTTCGAGAGGGCGGTGGTGCGCTTGATCTTGAAGAAGACCTCGTTGTTGTTGTCCGTGACCTTGATGTTCAGGTGCTCGCTCTTGGGCTGATCGTCGGGGTTGCCGCCGGCACCAGGAGATTGATCACGGTCAGACATGGCGTGGATGCTGGAATTGTGTTATGTTGTATAGTGGTTGATGGTGGTGAGAGTGTTGGAGGAAGGAGAGGAAGCTGTGAGCGTAGGGTGCAGGGTTTCTGTTGTCACCAGGCCCTGATCTGTGTACGCCTTGTGAGCGAGGAAGATTTGTTTGCTTTAGGGAGGGGAATGTACCTGAGAGCGGGACGCGATTTCTCGAATGCACAGTGATGGATTGAGGAAGCTTAAAAGTGGGCAGGTGGTTGTCAAGGTAAGGAGGTTGTGTGAAGCAAATTAGGGTAGCATGAAGTGATGTGAAGGATGAAAGCATGCCCCACCAATCACAAAGAGACTTCTAGAACTCACTTTTACCGAGTTTCCACTTGGCATCTCACAAACTACAAATCACCCATATTGTGAATGGTCACCCTGCTATAATCCTTAAGGCAAGTTCATCGTTGGAGGACCAAAAATGGTCAGTGTTCACTTTGTGATTGATCTATGCTTTACGTACTGTGGTCTTTTGTACTCATATCTATCTAGGGAATTGAGGAAGACCTAAAGACGGATCCGCCATGCCATTCCCTCGCTGTAAGTGGCTATGATTATCGCATTGCAGGATACTCATGAAAACATAGTGTGCAATACAAGGTGAGGCAACTTGAAGTGCTGTAGATAACCTTATAGTGATGTTGAAGCTCTAAAAACGTTGCAGATTGCCTGTCCAAGAACTCATACAAGGAGGAAAAATGGTAAGCACAGCCCAATGAATAGTAAAGAAGAGAATTTTGATTGAGGGACAGTCAAAGCCAAGTCGACGATCTGTATAAGTGCTGCAATAGTTTCTACGAGCGCAAAGGTGATGACGCCCATACGGTCTCTTGCCCTAAAGCCAGTCTGTTGAGACTCAAGATGAAGCAACGCAGCAAAGGCACATGATGAGCAAAATCCGCGACTCATATCGTTTCATGGTCAGAGTGCTTGAAAGTGGCACCCTTCAATACACGTGGAAAATTTGTAACGGCTCGCTTTTGGGTCAAGACCTTCATTACCCACTGAAGAGTTCTGGTCTGGTATATAGAGAGCGTCAAAATCAATATTAGACGATCGTGAGCACGCAAAGAGATCCTCAAGGGACCTGAACAAACACTGATGGCTACTCCAGATTGGAGGTCTGTCCCGAGACTCTAATGATTGCCTGTTTAGACATTGTTTGTAGAAAGGAAAAGTCCGAAAGGCATGTCTACTACTCCTTAAATACAAGAAATTTTAAGCGAACTTCCTCGGCAGTTTATAGACGCGTCTTGCGCGATTCGCTACTTTACAACTTTGCTCAGTCAACATGGCACAATTGAATTGGAAATCCCCTCTGCACCACTGAAAATATATGGGTGAGCTGTGGGAGATCCGCTTGCAGCTCCGCAACCGTTCATTGAAACTCTCATATCCTAATAATTGACTGATATGCCTCCAAGGCTAATGCCTAGGGAGGGAAGCTGGAACAGCCTTCGCCGTTCAGAAGCTTCCGGTGACAACGTTGAAGATGAGTTCTCGGATGCCAGTATGAATGATGAGTCTGACCATGGTTCGGAGCGTTCCACTACCGAATCACCAACTTTCCCAACCGTTAGCGACGTTCATCGAGCACTTCACCCACTGCAAGCTACTGCAGACCGTGTCGGCAAGCAAGTCGAAGAATTTGCAGAGAACCTCGACCGTCTTAGTTCTAGAGACAAGCGCAAGCATGGGAAGGATTGTGGCGACGTTCTGCCCCTCGTCGACGCTTACAAAAAGATTGCCAGAGATACTGTAAGCCGCCTACAGAGCATGCACGCGCCTGAGAGACAGCAACAACTTTCCAAGACAACGAAACGGAGGCTTCGAAACTCAAGCGCCAAGTCCACGCCTGGGCCTCCTCCCGCAGAAGATGGAAAGGACCGCGGTATGATGACTAGTGTTGAAGACTTGAAGAGGTGGGAGCTGGAAGAACAAACGTGGGACTTGGTTGGCCTCATGCTCCAGGTTGAATATCCCAAAAGGGGAATGACGCAGACGAATATTGACGGCGAATCGCATCTCGTAAGGCCTAGCAAGGATACTGAAGTGCATCGGTACTCCCCAGAGAAAGACGTTTGGAATAGGTTCCTAGCATCGGACGACCAAGCATGGGAACGACATACAGTAGTCGAATGGCTCAAGAAGTGCGCGGATAGTTTGGGCCAAGACATTGACCAGGTCGTGGAAGAGCTTGAAGTGGGCGCGGACAGAGGGTCTGGGCTGTGGGCTCACAGCTGGTTGTACTCAAAAGAAGCGATCAAATTCCAGAAACGCCTACGATCATGGCCACAAGCACTTGAGCCGGATGATCCGGGTCTCAACGCGTCACTGATGAACTCTGAGAAAACTAAGTCCCTGGTTACTCAGCTGGATCCAGATGCAATCACCCGTCAAGGTAGAAGTCTGGAGCAGCAAGATTACTACTTTGAACGTGCTACGTGGCTCGCGTGCTGGGAAATGCTAAGACGAGGGAAAGACTGGGATTATGTCCGGGATTGGTGTCATGAAAGAGGGGACGGCTGGAGGGCTACAGCAATGCGTGGAGATCCTCGAAACGCCCGCTTTCCCACCTCTTCACCAGCAAGTTGGCAATCACGAGCATTATGGCGCAAGGCCTGTGCTCTTGCTGCGAAAGACGGTAGTGTCGACGAGTACGAGAATGGAGTGTACGGAGTCCTCAGCGGATATCTTCCGAGTGTCTTGAAGGTCAGCCGCAGCTGGGACGATTATCTGTTCGCTCATTATAACTCTTACCTGCTACACTCGTTCGATCGTTATCTGAAATCGAGCTTTCCGGACAGGGTGCCAGCTACTCTGAACGACAAGCATGGTTCATTCAACTTCTCTGTCTTTGGCGGTCAACGTACGCAATCCGGGAATCAAATTGTAGAGAAGATGAAGCATCTGGAAACAACGAGAGAAGAAGCGAGGGAGCCGCTCAAGATGTTGCAGGGCAGCTTGATTGCAAACACCTTTGACGATTTTGTCTTTAAGCATGGTGTCAGACTTACACAAGCAGCTAACGCTGAAGAGAGATCTAAGATTCTTGAACGTTTTGGGAACGATCAAATTCTTGAGGGGAGCATTACAGCACCAATCAGCATGGCGGATCATGACCTTCTCCGTCTTCTAACGCATATCATATTTGTATTCCAGGATCTCGGATTCCAATTTGGGGACGGCGAACGCCGCTCCGCCATGGAAAGCATCATCGTCGCTTACGTGGATTATCTTAGCAAAGCTGGCAAACAGCAACTACTGCCTCTCTACGCCTCCCGCCTCTCATATCAAACATCGATAGTTTGCTTGGGCCGCCAGCTACCAGCAATCCAAGATCGTCGTGAGCGCCAGACAATGATGAGTCTGATGAATCAGATTGGAATCGATGTCCCTGGTGTCCTTGGCATGCAGTTGCAGTTGATTATTACGGATACGCCGCTTACGCAGAGCGAGTGGCCTGCGTTGAGGATACTTGAGCAGACCAGCAAGGACGCGTCAAGCGTCCGTCCTATCCAGACCGGCTTCATCGGTGATGAAGTTACAGGTGACCAAGAAGACCTAATTCACGGATTTGAGTGGTATATGCTACTTGATTTCCATTGGCAGCAGACTATGGCGATAGGTGTAGTGATATACAAGCATTTGTTACGTAAGTCTGTAGAGGATGATCTTTTCTCTCTGCGAGCGCTAACATCGACATTCATTCTAGGGTCGAACGGATTGGCAGCCGCACGACGCCTGTCGCAGACAGTACCGTTCTCTACAATATCTCTTGGGAAGACCAATGATGTCTTGGGAAAGCCGGTAGATATTAGCAAGAGCCAAGATTCGAGTGATGACGAGGGCGATCCAGTTACTAGGAGTCAGAATACCAGATCACGCCACGCACAAAGCTCGCAACGATCGGGCAGCCTGTCTGCGAAACTTGCCCAAAGCGATCGTGAGCTCATGCTGAGTCAAGCAACCACCTTTAGGGACTTCGAAGCCCTTTTTGCTGCCCTCGATGCGATCGAGGAATGGAAGAACCTTGCCGATGAAGCTGTCAAGTAAGTCCACCCAAAGTTCCACAATGAGTAATCTGTAACAAATCTGGTTACTTTCGACAGATACATCGAACAACGCCAAGATATCAGAGTCTGGAAAGACTCGTTTCAGAAGGCTTACAAAAGGGTTGAGACGACTATCGAGCCATTACTCCATGGATGGTTGCGAAACCCCAATAATGGTGAGTGCGTCTTACATCATGCATCAGCTGAAGCACGACCTGATGGTGAAATTAGATGCAGACGAGGCAGACTTCAGGCAGATACGGGTAGCTTGTTTACCCGAGGTTTTGCTTGCTTACAACATGGTCTTGAACTTCAGCTCGCACTACCTTAGTCGTGATCTGCTACTGAAGAGCATGGACTTGGCAGCTCTGGTCGCTGCTGAAGACTCTGGGCTTGCTGAGTGCTTCATGGCCGCTGAGAGGATGCCTGAGCTTGTTGATTCTTTTGCAATTTTGAGTAAGACGATCATCAGAGCAGATGATAGGGGAGCAAAAGCGGGAAAAAGCAAAAAGAAGAGGAACGGGGAGACATTAGACCTGTGGACAGTGAGGGCGCCGGCAGACTAGGGGTTGACATTTCGGCAATGCTCAATGTAGTTATTATAGACTGGCGCTCAACCCATAGCATTAGTAACGTTGAAGACGGTGATCATCAAAGCGATCCACCACTTGGAGGAGAACACAGCCCTCTCTTCATGCAGGGCTCATTGTGTGGATGAAGGTCAGCGCTTAGCACGCAATCCATCCCATAGGCAACTTGTATCTGCGGAAGGGGTAACAATTGACGCGTTGAAAGTGATACACATGCCGTTTCTGGTTGTCTCTGTACCCAAAGTCTTGCTTGCATGTACTCGGTGTGTACTCTGAATCATGGCGGCTGGCCTGGTGTGGGACCTGCATCGAAGGATCCAAGCTG